AAGGGATGACTTTCCTGGAAAAGGTTATGGATAATTAATATTATTTCCCCCTAACTATTTGGCTGCTTTATCAGTAAAATTATCCTTGTGCTTTGTTATTATGACAGATTAATTTCTGTACTAGCTATAAGGTTGTTAGGTTATTTGTTTCTGTCTGGGGTAGGGTTAGCAGTTTGTGTCACTCAAGGAATTGATCTAATTCACCTTAGTTACCAAGTCCATGATCATCCAGTTGCTAATAGTGTCTCTTATACTCTTGTCCCATGGATCTACAAGGTAACTCATTTCTGATATTGGTAACTTTGTAACATGGTTAATGTTAAAAACTCACTGATTTAGAAATGCTGAGGATACACATTGGATGTGTCTATGGGGACATTTTTATAGAAGATAACTGAAGGGTGAAGGTCCACCTTGAATGTAAATGACACCCTTCTAAGCTTGGGGATGCTGGACGCAAAGGAGAAAGCAAGTGGAGCTCTGTATGCTTCCTGACAGCAGACAACGTGACCAGCTCTCTCATGCTCCCGAGTCTTGACTTCCCACTGAAATAAACTATGTCTTCAAACTGAGCCCAAACAAACACTTTCTCCCGAAAGTCCCTCATTAGGTGTTTTGTTCAAGCAACAAGAAAAGTGAAAACTACACTCGGCTAGAGATGCATCACTTTTTATTGATCTCCAAGAACAATCTTTGAGTTTATTGCTTTTCTTAGTTTCAGTGTCATTGATCATATACTCTAATACATATATTTCTTACAATAAGGCCAAACAGTTCTTCTTTCTATAGTTTCTTTAGTCAATTTTTAGGGGGTTATTTTCTTTCCTAGCACATACATTTAGTGCTACAAATTTCCTGCTAACCATTGTTTTCCCCCTCTAGCAATGGTTCATTTAATTATCATTATTTTAAATTTGTTTAAATGTAACTTACAGACAAGAATGTAGTCTGTCTTGGCAAATGATTCATGAGAGTAGAGCAAGAGTACCTATTCTGCCGTGGCTAGATGGATTATTTTATGTGTAAATAAAGCAAGCAGGTAATGTTGTTTGGGCTAGGCTGTATATATTGTTTGCTAATAGTGTTATTTCTTAGACTCTCCCCTGCTCCTTCCTTATACTGGGCTGCACTGCACAATCCCTTCTTGGTTACATTTATAACTGCAATTTCCCTTTGCTCCTCCCATCGGAGAGCCTGTTTTTTACCCTACTTTGACTGTATAGTGCTGGCTTTGTTCCTTTTTTTGTTCTTGCAAACACATTGACAGACAAGTGGTAAATCTATGTCTGAAAGTTTTTTTCTTTAGAGCTCCTAGCACCATGGTTCACTTAGGGTAAGGATCACCAAAAAGATACTGGTTTGTGACTGATTGAAATGGACCAAGATGACCTTAACCCCTCACCCAAACCCTGTGGTTACTGTAACAAAATACCTTAAGCCATGTATTTATTTATTTTGGTTTTTCGAGACAGAGTTTCTTTGTATTGTTTTGGAGGCTATCCTGGAACTTGCTCTGTAGACCGGGCTGGCCTCGAACTCACAGAGATCTGCCTGCCTCTGCCTCCCCAGTGCTGGGATTAAAGGTGTGAGCCACCAACACTGGCAGGCCATGTATATTAAAACAAAAAAATTATTCTATAGTTTTGAAGGCTAAAGACTCAGAAGAACAAAGTACAAATTAGTGGGACCAGCTCTGTCTAGATCTCCAGAGAAGAACATACCCACTCTTCTGCTTGCTTCTGCTTTTTGCAATCTTGGGGAACTCACGACTTGTAGCGTCGAGAAATTTCCAGTTCAGCCTCTGATGTCACAGGACTCTTTGTGGGTCTCCTCTTTATCTCTCTGTCTCTGTCTCTGTATGTGTTTTGTTCTTGATCTTTTTATGTGTACATATATGAGGGACAATGGTCAAAGGGTCAAAGGTATGGGGGTTGGAGGACTTTCTTGCTTTTTTTTTTTCTGCCTTTTGTGGTCAATAAACCTAGATTTCAAGTCAGCATCTAGACTGATCCTTGAACCTGCTGGTCACCAAATCTAGTTGCCATGTTAAAATCCATAACTCTGTGTTAAAAGACTTCATTGGGAAGAGTGTCATACATTGAGCATCCACCACAGACGCTTGTGATGTCATAGAAACTCTGGCTCAAGCAAGAACAGTGTGGAGATGCAGAAAAAAAAAGGCAAAGCAGCGCCTCCGTGCCTTTTAGGTTCAGGGTGAATTTGTGCACAGCAGCAGGCAGTATTCAGATCTCATCTCCTGACATGAGAGCGGAGAAAATGATTTGTCCTTGCTTTAAGTGGGACACTGTTTCATTTAGTGAATGCTAATCTTCCCCATTTCTGATGCAGCTTAAGGTTCTGCTCATTATAAATGGAAAGCTGCCCACTGTGCTTTGGTGTTTCCATGGCATATGTAACATCCCAGTGTCCTGTAAGGAGAGGTTCAATTTTGTTTCAAGTAACTTATTTCACGGTCACACTTGAAACCCTGGTGGACAACAGGAATGTCAAAATCCCCAGAGGATCATTTTTAGTAAAGAATTTCCTCTGATAAAGGCAAATTTAAAGTGGAACAAGACCTAGTATTCTTGCCTTCCTTCATTTGGAATTCAAACACTCTATGGTTTGTAGTTTTTGTTGTTTCTACGTTTATGAGTATGTATGAACTACTAACTTCAAATAAGACTTATTCACGGTGGATTACTGAACTCTTACCACACTTGCCACATCGACCATCTATGGAGGATTCAAAGGAAGGATAGACACCCTACTTTAGACTGTTTGGATTCAGTTACTGTGAATCCAAATCCTACCCATCTCCCCAAGTAGACTTAGTGGTGATTAATCCCTTACTGCATCTGCTTTAAAATGTCAACAGGTTTGGGGATGCAACTCAGTGGTTGAGTGCTTATCTATCCCAAAAGGAACTTGGGTTTGATCCCAACACCACATTCACCAAGGAAAGGGAGATGACCACAGTACTCTTATCCCCTGTTCACTATTGTTTTGACCCTAGAAGCCATCTTCTATCTTTGTGTTTAAATTCTCAACCAGGGTCTAGTTTCCAGTTTATAGATTCCCCATAGAAATCTCATACATCAAGGAGGATTGTTTCTGGAAGACTCATGGCTACAGTCTAGATATCACTGGATCTGTCCATAAAATAGAATGACCATTTTTCTTTATATCCCCCCACATCTCTAAAGAGATTTAAGAAAAATAAATCTGGGTTTATTTCTGTTTACTTCTGATAACCTTTCATCTGGAACATCCTCCTTAAGCATGATAGGTCTGTCATGCACCCTGCTGACAGGAACCTCAGTCTATTGAGATACTCAGATGAGTGGTTCTTATGCTGTATATCTAGGTGAGTGACACAGGCCAGGTGCTGACAGTGCACATGGCAGGAATGTCTACCCTGGACTGGGTAGGTCGAAGGCTTCCTAGTGTCTTGTGGATGGGGGTGGGCAGTAATGAAGCCATGGGAAGACAGGGGAGAATGTAACAAAAGAATTTCAGCAAAGAAGCGCCTAGGAGAAGAAGAGTGCAACAAAATAACAAGCTGGTAGGAAATGTCGCTTTGAGAAGGAAGAGAGGAGAGTGGAAAAAATGGAGCTTCAGATGTTAAGCTAGGCAGTGACAGACCTGCATACTGCATGAGGGAAATCACACAGCAATCTACCTGAAGTTATGATCTTCAAATACTTTACATGTTGCCAAGTATCCAGCAACTCAAATTAAGGGTTCCTGTAGTAAATGTATTTGGGAACTAAGTGTGTAAAGCTATCACCCAATGTTGATACATCTTTTTGTTGGAATATTGGAACTGCACACCATGATTTTTACCCTTATCAGCAACTCCAATCTCACATCTCTGAATTCCTTTGAAGTGGTAAGCATACACATATCATTTTTCTCTTTCACTACACTTTAATCTTCTTCTTGGAAATATCTTTATATTACTTGTCATAATATTTTCTAGCAGGAAATACATATAAACTATGTATTTATATTAAAAGTAATTCAAGCCTCACTTGAATTTTCTCACGTTTTATTTTAATTCTTTGAGTTTCATGCATGTATATAATGAGTTTCCACCATTTTCATGCCCTCTGTCTTCCTCTTCTGCTAAAACCCTTCTTTCCAACAAGTTCCTCTGTTATTTTCACTTTTTTTTTTGCGTGTGGCCCACCAAGTTTACCTAGGAGTGCTTGCCGACGTATGGGTGGGAGGCTATTTACTGGAACATGGCAAGTTATCAGTGGCTAAATTTAAGCCTGACATTTCAATATCCACCTTTATAATGGGAACTCTTCAGTAAAGATAGAGTCCATCAGAAAGGAGGCTGATACTTAAGATTTTTGAATTAAAACATGGTTAGAAGAACAGTCTCATGGCTAACGCATAATTCTTCACTGATGCATGAATAGTCCACTCATTCCTTGGATGTATGAGATATATACAAAGCTGTTAGAACTATACCTTGACTATCCACATAGTGATTTTTCTCTAATATATAGGCTCAACTTATGCATGCATACATACATACATACATACATACATACATACATACATACATACAAATGTTCATCCTGGGGGATTTTCCATGCTATATTGGGTCATATATCATGATGAACGTCTATATCACTTGGCTCCCTGAAGGAAGGACATTAACTGAAGTGAAACAGGTAAAGAGAGCTTGCACTTCCCATGCTCTAGCAATCTTCAAGCATAACTGCAACTGGGGTGATGACATTGGAACAAATACCTCATCAAATTAATAAGCACTACAAAGTGTGATGGAACGGAACTTGTTACTTGCTTGCCTCCTTTGGGCATGGGCAGATTTTATTGTTTAGCTTCCACATAGGCCAGAACAGTTAGGTAAGATATGAAAAATCTTCAAGTTGGACAAAATAAGAGTGAAAAGTTTGAGGTCCCCAAGATGTTCTGTATACATAAGATTTTAAAAGTTTTTCTGTAAAAACTTGAAAGAAAACAGTTTTAATTTTTTAATTAAACTGAATATGCAACACACAAAAATAGGCCAGCTTTTTACTTGACATTTCTCATCTTCCACAACATTCAGTAGCTTTTTTAATACAACATTGATTATATTATATTTAAATATTTTGATTATTTGTAGACAGTCTTCTAGCAAGGTATTTAACTTCTCCCCATCATCAAAAAATCTGTAATAAATTACTCTTTCAATTTAAGATTTTACCTTAGCAAGACAGACACAGTTTAAAATATAAAAACAAATGCCTCACTTCCTTTTCAAAGGAAGCAAAAAAGATGATCTTCCATTCTGAATAATGCATTTCCAAAAGCCATATAACATTCTTCAACATTACAGTGATAATTGCACAAGAAGGCTAGATTAGTCTTCTTCTGTCTTACCCAGAGTCCCCTAAAATGTCTTAATGATATCCTCCTGAAGTTAACATCAAGTCTTTGAAAAGGATGTAGATGTAAGAGGTTAGAAAGGAATTTAAACTCTAATTCATAGAACATCAGTCTCACCCTCCCCCAAGGGAGTAGTTGGGAATTACATATTAACAGTGCTCTTTTCATTTAATATTCCAAAAGATCAGCATTGACAGGGGATTAATGGGCAATGAGCAGCAAGATGGCAAATCACACCAAGCATTATAATGAGTCTTCATTGAACACTTTTCCACAGGCCAGATCACCACAGGACATGAAATAAAGACTCAGTTGTCAAGAGGTAGATGAGCTCCCTTTCCACACGGGAAAGTGAGGCACTGAGATGCCTTGCAGTTGGCTACACAAGTGTTCAGCAGCAGCAGCAGCAGCAGCAGCAGAGGCAGGAGGAACCGACTACAGTTATGCACACAAGGGCTAATGCAGAGCAGTGGAAGGACAAGGAGACCCTTGGTCCCCTCCTGTAGCCTGTGATCAATCTCGACCCAATGGCATACAGAGCTAATAGAAAGGTTGAAACTCCATTTTAACACTGATGGGCATGTGTGGTCTCCAACATCAAGCCCAAGAGAGCAACAGAGGGAATGGTAGTGACTTCCGCAGACTCAGGAATGTTGAGTGTGTTGACACAACATTGAATGTATTTCGGTAAACAAGACCAAGACATGAGAAGCACGATTAAAGGAGAGCTAATGCAGTATTGAAAATCACAACTTCAGTTTGATGTAACTCCCTACAAAGACATATTTATGAACACAGTTAAAAAGAAATTATCGAACATTTAGATTTGAAAATTAGATCGCATATCTATGCTGATGTGAGCACTCACATGTCTTTAAACAAGGAATCAGCCTATTACATGGAATATTTCTCTTCCTGGAGTACAAAATCTATTATTATACACTGGACATAATTTTCAGTGTTCCCCAAATACATTAAACAATAGAGAAAATGCAATTATTTCACCTAGCAGTGATATTAGTCAACAAACAAGGTGTCCAGACTGGAGATAAATTGGTGGGGGATGCTTTGTGTGATGTGGAGAAAATAAGCAACCATAATGTCCTTTAGGCTCATAAAGGTGTCCGTTGATGCCAACACCTCACTGCTGTGCAAGTAGCCAGTACACTAGTGACACACAGACATAGATGACACACAGCACAACCCAGTTTATCCTTGTGATTGGTGGCTCCAGGTTGCTTGTCACATGGAGGATGGCTTTGGAAGACAGGGTGCCACTAGAGTTTTGGGCTTGAGCCATATAGAGGCCAGCGTCTGCCTCACATACCTTCGGAATGAACACCGAATGCTTTGTGTCCTTGTGCAAAACCTGCAAGTGTCCATCTGCACACAATTTCTGGCCCTTCTTGAACCTAAAGCAGAGAGTCAGTTTTAAGTCAGGATCACTTCTTGATTCTATCATTTTCAAGTTCTCATACCTATTCCAATCAGGCCCATCCCCAATGCAATATTCTTCATTAGTAACAGAAATCATCTAGCTATAGTAGATGCCAATGAGACTGTCTATCAACCTGTAGCCACAAAATTATATTGATTGACTCAGATGGTGTTTTTGAAAGTTCTACGATAACAATTAACAGGATATTATAGATGAAAATTCATACATCCCCACATTTTTTAAAACACACACATATACACACACACACACCATCTAGTCAAACTGGGACATCATTTGCTTGTGGCAACAGTTATTTGAGTGTGACATGGCACACGCATATCCAGCCTGGTTCACCCTATCTGCAGCTTGTAGCAACAGCTGTGACTCTGCTTGGCCTCTGTACAGAAGTGACACTCATCTGTCCATTGTGTTCACATAGCGGAGGCCCCCCAGCAGGCCAAAGGCACAATGTCAAAGAAGGGGATTCACACCACTCCCACTGGAAGGAGCTCATGTTATTTGGGAATTAAGTTAATTAGAAGATGATGACTCCTCATTATAAAAGGCATTTGTGACATTACCTCTTGTCTATAAATGACCTATTCCTAAAATTTCTCTCTGAACATGAATGAACACTTACCTGGATCATTTTAGGCAGCAAACAATTTACTTCTCATGTTCCACATGTGTCTTTATAAACACTTTCTTCCATATAGGGACTGATGAGAAATGCAAGTCAATTTACTACGTGTGTGTCTGTACATGGGATGCATGTGTGTGGAGACCACATGCTCGTGTCAGGTGTCTTCCTTTACCACACTGAGTGTTAATGCCTGAGTCAGGGTCTCCCCACATGAGCTCATGGATTCAGTTACTGTATCCACCACCCCAGGGCTGAGATCTCTGGTGCTCTTCTATGAGCTTTTACTATGAGACTGGGTCCTCATACTTGGTCCAGCTCCTAGACTCAGTTTCTGTCCACACTGCCTAAGTGAGGCTTTTGCATCTCCAGAGTGTCCTGAGAGTGCACAGCCCCGACAGCCTGCCAGGAGTTCAGAGGCCCACCTCCTCTAGAGCTGATGGGAAAATGGCTTTCCGTTTTTGTAACTTATAATAGTTCTTCAATAATACATACGTTGCCACAATTCTTCAGCCATATGTACTAGCCCTAATGAAGCTGCTTGTTTGTGCAGAGAAAAATAAGAAACACCTCAGACGGCATCTTTCTTGGGGGTGAACTAATATTTAATTATGAAATAAATATCTGGTGAATTCATAAATACAAAAGTTTTAAAGTGTGAAAAACATGCAATTGTAAAAACAACAAAACAAAAAAGTGCTAATTTCTGCACTCACATGTGTGCAGACTCTCTTACTATTTGAGCACCAAAGTTTTCTCCTAAATTCTGTATGAAGCTGGATTACCAGTCAAGTACCATCAGTGGGGCATGCAAAAAAACAAAACAAAACAAAACAACAAATCTTACTGAAAACTCCTGATAAGTAAAATACAGTACACTTAGCCTATAAATATAAACTCATTGTCACTTGTTAGTTTGTTCTCAAATGCATCTGTTTGAGGATGGAAATTTTGTGAAGGTTTAAAAGTAATTCCCCACAGAAAATGCTAGAACAGCTTTGCTACTCATGGCAAGTGATTTAGAACCTTGAGGTTACAGTTTACTTTTACCAAGACAAAAAGGCAACGACGTGTCCAGAGTGAGGTCACATTTTTCACAGCTTAATTAATACATCACTTTTCAAAAATGAGTTTATTATCAGCCACCTGGAGTAACTGTAAAAGAAGTAGCTCACCTTTCATACTAAAGATATATATATATATATATGAACCTTAGCAAAACAAATATGACAAAGGTGGCACCCGTGATTCCGTTCGAAAGATTAAATGAATGAATGAAGGAAAAATAAAAAAACCTATTAGGCTTTTTTAATTGCCTGAAGGATCTTAAACTAAGAAAATGCCATATCAATGTAGAACCAGACAATAGGGGTGATATTTCAAGACCTGATTATTAGAAATGAGGAATGTTAAATGGAAAGAAACCAAACAGAATCAATGTCCATGCTTTGGAAGACTGTTAAATCATTATTTCACATGGCTGCTTTTCCCCCTAAGGGTATTAAAAGACTTAGTTAAATGAAAGTTGAGATGTGATGTGAGATCAAATCATGCAGAGTTGAGTGTGTCGGGAGGGTTAGTCAGCCAGCACTAAACCTTTAGGTTAGTCCACACTTTACAAGAACTCTTGGCAGTCATTATTTCTGTCTATGGTTTGTCATTATAGGCTACCCACCATGTCAGTGTAGGCTCTGGGAATCCTGTTACTTCGACTTCCAAAGTCACTGGGGAACCTTCCGTGACAGTTACATTGGACAGCAGCCTGGAGAAATGAGGCGCCTGGCCAGCTAGGCTGACCACACTGTTCTCTGCAGATGAGACTTTCCTGTCTCCTTGGGGACCCGCATGCCTCCTGCTGGTGTCTGACTGAGAGCCCAGGCCAAGGAATACATCAGGGGAGTCATGCAGCCTGTCTTGGGTTTTAGTGACATTAGAATCAGCATGCACTTTCTCCTGGGTTTCTAGCGAGCTCTCCTGAGCCTGGGAGCCTTGCTGTAAAGCTCTGTCGTGCACTTCATGAGGCATGCTTGTAGGACATTTCACACTGGTGTGTAATTTGGAACTCATCTCTACTGATCCTTCAGGGGTTAATGAGGAGTCAGCTTGGAATTGTGTGTAGGGCCTCTCAAAGTGACTTGTAAATGTGTCTTTCTTACTATGGCACCCATCAGCAAAAGCAGTGGGTGGTGGAAGAAGAGATTCCTGGGGCTTGCCTAGAGCACCAGTCCCTGTGTGTGTCCCGTAGCCACTGATGTGGAGGACCATGGCTGAAGAGCTGGCAAGTTCTTCTACCTCCATGGTGGATGGTGCCAGAGGGGACTCGGGGCTCCTTGGCAGTGGAGGCAAGGAGATGTCATCAGATGAGATACACTCGGATTCTTCTCCAGACAGCATGTCTTCCAGTAGGGTCAGACGCTGGGCACTGCCCTCTTTGTCAGGAGAGGACTGCCTCAAGTCTTCGGGAAGTTCATCTTCCTGTGTTCCATTGATGCCCAAGGTATCTGTTCCCTTCAAAGGAGGAGAGCCAAACTTTCATTAGTTGGGCACACTTCTTTTCCCAGCTTCCCACTACAGTGATGGCCAGCCAGTACAGGATGAAAATCTATGGTGCATCAAGGCTTAAGATGGCACACTGAACTTCAAATGTCTGTTTGTGAACAATCCCACACTCCCATGGCCAAAACGCCCTTGAGTGAAATGAGATGCTCTTAACAGACATGGGTAAAATTCTCTCATGATCAAATACTTACTCAGTTCCTCTTTCTTTTCAGTTATTTTAAGGAAGATACCAAGAGTGTGTTTATCAAACAAATGATCTCCTGAAAGCATAGTAAATTCTGCCTATGACAGTAACCAAGAATTACCCACAGAGGAATGATCTCAGCAAATAAAATACAGTATGCTTTGTATAAATGTTCCTTTCTGACAAAATCCACTTGGCTCTTGGCCCTTCTGCTTTTGTGATCAACCTGGAACTGGGCAGGCAGGTTTCGAGTCACTGTAAAACGTTACAATCGCCACTTTCAAAGCTCACTGAGGTATAGTTTTCTAAATCTATATAGTTCTCACTTGTGAAAAAAGATTTAAGCATTCACAGTTACTGACCATCTTTTCTAATTTTCCCAGCATGAAATTCATCTTTCTACAAGACACTTGCATCATTTTGATGATTTCTGGAAAAATAGGTGGGAAATTCTGCTTTGATTTGCTAAACGGAATTCTGTTTCCAAGTTTGCTTCTCTTATACCTTTCACTATACTCTTTGTTTTGTTGCTAATTCTCTTTTCCCACCATTTACTCAGATGTATTCAGCTATTGGAGTTTTTCATTTGTTTGTTTTGGTGTCTACGTGGTATGCATATATTTATATATGTGTATAAACTCACTTGTGTGCATGTGTGTATGGAGGTCAGATGTCCATACTGGGTACCTTCCTCAATTGTTGCTATTATTATTATTATTATTATTATTATTATTATTTGACACTTGCAGTTCACCAGTTCCAGACTAGCTGGCCAACAAGCCTTAATGCTCCTCCTGTATTAACAGGCACACACTGGTACTCAGCTTTTTTACATGGTTAGGAATCTGAATGGATCCTCACGATGGAGTGGCAAAGACTTTCCTGACTCAACCATTTTTCCCAGCTCCCTGCTTTTAGTTTTTTAATCTTCTCTGTGTACTTTTTCCTCTAAAGATCTCTAGGCATTTATATATCTAATGACAAACTGACTTTTAATTAATTCTACACCAATACCCTGGTTCATATGTCTGGCATGACTGCTGAACTTTAATTTGCACAGCTTGGCACAATAACTTGGATTTACGGTCATTGCCTGTGGGTAGGGCCAGTTCTCGAATGGAATATAATCATATTGTAGACCCATCGACCTAAGTGAGTAGAATCGATCCTTAAAGTAAATTGCATAGGGAGAAGTACACATTGCACATTTAAAGGAATACCATACACTTTACATTCCAAAATATCTTTCACAATACAGTAGGTGTTCTTACCTTAGGGAGAATAAGATTTGGTGGGATTAGTGGGAAGCAAATAAAGATATTAGGCATATGGTTTTCTGTATAAAGGGTATTTGGGAGGAAGATCCATGGAAGGTTCATGGGTAGATAAGAGGGGACCTAAGACCTTTGGACACTTGGCATGACATGAGAAAGGAAGAGAGCAGAAAAGTAAAGAGAACACTTAGCTCTTCTGAGTTTCTAAAGGCATCTGTCTCTACAGTGTCTAACACCTGGGCCACAATCTGATGGGAAGAACCAGGGGCTGTCCTCCCAGTCTATAAGAGTGCTCCACTGAACTGCCTGGAAGAGAGACACCTTCATCCTGTTGTTTATTAATCCTCATGGAAACAGCTGGCTGGACAAGGAGGAAAGGTTCAGCATGGGCACCCAAACCACTCACGTTTATGGTCTAGTTCCCTGGAAAGTCCTTGGTCTTGTAGAAGAGGTATTTTCTGAAACTCAAACTGAGCAGGCTGTCTGCCTGCTTCTGGTACTAGTTTCTGGTATCATGGAGGGAAATATATTTAATCTCTCTTTGCCTCAGTTTCCTCAATTGTACCACAGGATCTGACCAGATGACTGTTAAATCTCCCCCTGTACTAAATTCTATACCTCTAAATCCTAGTGCACAAAGCCTCATCATCTACCAAATAGTTTCATGACTTTAGGCAAGTCTTTTAATACTCTGTGCTGCCATTTAACCTTAGGAGTTCTCAGATATTGCTATGGATTTAGCTTCAGCACCCAGCCTGGGGATGAAACGCCAGCACTAATCTGTTAGCAGTGCTGCGTACATTGCATCATGGGATCGTCTAATGCCATCTGTCACATCTGGGGTCAGGATAAATGAGAAGCACTTTACTATCTCTAGGAGAAAGCTCCTGTGATAAACATCTTCTCATAATCATTCACTAGAACTGTCCTTTCCCAACTCAGATAATTTTCTGAGGACGATTCAGTGCATAAGGGTATCAGGACTGAATACGGTGATTCCAGGCATCTACTTGGGACTTTCTGTTTTCTGCCCACTGGAAGTTTTGGGGATTCATTATACCTGACCTATATGCAAACAGTAGAGACAGTGAGAGTCTAAGGGTGACTGAGCTGCTTGAAAATGAAAATGAAGATTACCACTGCACTTTCATTATGCTGTCTGTACCGGCTGCAGCAAGCTGGGTAGGAAGTGACGTCAATGGGAATTCCTGCCAGCTATAATTGTGGACCTTCACTTGCATTGTAAATGACTGCTGATCTAGTTAGCCTCTCTTTTAATTTATTTAAAAATAACAGTTACTCGTTACTTGTATTTGTTTTATTTGAAGACATTTGTTTCTAATAAGAATACATAGAAGCATGATAAAAACTTTTTACTAGGCATAAAATAAACCATGTGTATGGTTGCTTTAACAGCAAAGATTTTTGCTTCTGAGTCTTTATTAAAAACACAGAATTAAAAAGTAATGTTATTATGCCAGGTCAAAAATGTTTAAAATCATGGATTTTATTTTTGAGACAGGGTTTCTGCGTGTAGCATTGGAGCCTGTCCTGGAACTTACTTTGTAGAACAGACTGGCCTTGGACACACAGAGATCTGCCTGCCTCTGCCTCCCAAATGCTGAGATTAAAGTCATGTGCCACCACACCTGGTTAAATTCATATATTTTATAATGTGGTTTATCTAATACTATTCTTCATTATTCCAATCAGTTGTCATTGTACTAATCTAGCAGCTAGCACAAATTTGCATGGATGGCCCAGAAGGATGTGGCAACTTAACAAGACTTTTGAAAGCGTGATAGATTTGTATCTGTGAGTATTTGTAGTCCTTGTCACTTGTTCTAATTTACAGGTATATGACAAAAGGTTGAAGCATTTGTCTAAGTAGCATTTATATTTCAGCTGGATTCAGTGTCTTAGTGCAGATGCCTAGAAATGTCATGTGTAGTTAGTGTATGGGAAGAAGATACTACCTATTTTTATGTGTTAATGTTTCCTAATGGGTAGTGTAAAACAATTTTTAAAAATCTATATTTACTCTAAAAAGTAAATAACATGAAATAAGATTGACTAAAAGGATAATGGGGATGGTAGCAAGAGATAGGAGAGTAGAACTAGCCTAGGCTAACATGGTGTTTTCAGGAATTCTCATGCTTCTTTTGTGAAATTCTATGGCTTCAGGATTTAGTAGAGCAGACACAAAAAGAAACAGGAGAATGACCAAGCTGGAATGATAGGGATGAGAAAATTCATATTGAGTTTATATTGGAAGACTTGATTTGATGGGTAAGACAGATCTATCTTTTAAATGAATAGTAACAAATCTCAAAGGCAAAGTAACACACAGCTGAAGCTAAAACATTTTACTACCTTACCTCACTTTTTTCGTTGAAAGGTGTCTGCTCACTCCTCATTGGTTCCTTTAGTAGGTCAATGCAATTATCATGGAAAGCTTCCAATTCTGGGTTCATCTTTGGAACATCTCCCTGCTGTAAAAAGCAAGTTTAGTGAGAGCTTGAGCCAGGAAAGTTGAAGAACTAATCCTATATGCTAACCACTTGGAAAAACACCATAAGCCAATAGCAACCTTTCCGTAAATGCATCCCACAGGAGACCAATGTTCTCCTTCAAGCTCACAGCTCTCCTCTTGCCTCATCCCTTTAGTAAAGCTCATTGCCAGTAAAGCCAATTGTTCAAAGGCCCTGCAGAGAATGAAGTGACTATTAGCAATAGTATACTCCTGAATGAACATCTCTGGAGATGGGAAAAACTGCGTAGGACAGTTTGAGCCGTTAGAGGGCTGAAGAGCATCAGTGAGGAAGAAATTATGCGGTCTCAGGAGAATGAGGAGGAGAGCAAGAGAATCCACACAAGCAGACTTGAAAAGAGGAAGGAAAGAGAAAAGTTGGGAACACAGGCTGTCCCCTGTGACTGTTACTTGTTCCTGAATTTTATGGGAGTCAGTAGATTGCTTTTGGCAAGATTGCCATTTTTACTACGTTGATCCTACCTATCCAAGAGCATGGGAGATCTTTCCATTTTCTGCTATCTTCTTTAATTTCTTTCTTTAAAGACTCAAAGTTCTTGCGATACAGGTCTTTCACTTGTTTGGTTAGCATTACCCCAAGGTATGTTATGTTGTTTGTGGCTATTTTACAGGGCGATGTTTCTCTGATTTCTTTCTCAGCCCTTTTGCTTTATTCACAGAGGTAGTGGGGCTTTACATACTGGCAGGGAGGCAGCATGAGGGCCAAGATTTTGTGATGAGGAATCAAGGAACAGGTGCTCCAAGTGACAGAATACATGATTTTAAAGTGGTGGTTATATTATAGTAGAAGATTGTTGCACATGGAATGTGGCAATGGATGGTTATAGATGCAGGCATACTCTCCAAAGTGCACATTGCACTGGCTCAGAGAATTTGGGGAGAACCTGTTGGGGGAAAACTCAGCTTTGAATCTCAACTCTAAAATGAAACTGGTTCATATTACTGGGTGAGCCACTTGGCACTAATACACACTTGAAATCTATACCACAATGGCAGCTGTTGTGGAAAGAATTCTAGATGTTAAATTAGATATTACTTCAAATTCCAGGCTGATTACTAGTAACTGTGGAGACCCGGGACAGCATCTCTACCCTCTTTGGACCCATATCTTCCTTCTGGAACAAGGCAAACACAACCCACAATGGTGTAGACTTTAATCCCAGCACTAGGAAAGCAGAGACACTTGGGTCTCTGGGAGTTTGAAGTCAGCTTAATCCACATAGTGAGTTCCAAAGCAGCCAAGGGTCACATAGTGAGACAGACTATTTCATGAGCAAATAAACAAAACACCCAAACCAAAAAACTAACAAACAACAGAGGTCATATATCCATCTCAAGGGTCCTTGAAAATCACTGGAGTTGATATGCATACAAGCCTTTTTCGAATATCAAATCTCTATACAAATGGAATCACTTTTTATCACTAGTCTATGCTTTGTAGGAGTCTGTGCATCCTCTTTATAATAGCTCCCTTTAAGAAGGAATGGGACCCCCAGAAATATATTAGTGAAGTTGCAGAAGGGACCTGAGAGACCATTTGCCCTTGTACCTCATAAGTTTGGAATGAGGTGACTATGAGGAAGCAGGAACTCCCTGGGTGTCAAACCACCATAGTCTTGATTTCAGACTTACCGACCTCTGGAACTTCAAGAAACAAATTTCTGCTGCTTAAATGCCACCAGGTTTATATTGTTTAATGTAGCAGCTGAAACAGACTAGGATGGGTGAGAAAGATCACAAGAGTTATGGGAGACTAGCAAGGGAGAAGCAAGGAAGATTTGTGTGAGAAACGGGTATTTCTATTTAAATATGGGTGTTGATAAAGGGTCATGTGTTTGAAGTACAGGTCTAGCAGCAGAAACACTAAGTAATGTGAGACAGGAACTTGCACGGAATGCAGAAGCACAGGTCACAAAGCCATGGACAGGTCTCCTCGTGAAGGGTTTTGAATATGGAAGGACATGAGTACAGCCATATTTAGGAAGGGGAAATAAACCCAGTAGAGAATCAAGGAACTCATAAGTAGGATAAAAAAGAATCTAAATGGCAGACTGAAAATGCAAGAGGGAGTAAAATTCTAACTGAAGGGAGTCTTTAAGATGTGAAGAATGAGAAGACAGAGGCAGGCTATGAGAGCAGCTCTTTCAAGAACAGAGCCATGGAATAAAAGATGGGAAGGAATATCATTTGGAAAGACAAGGTTTCATTCAGCTGAAGATGAACAATATAAAAGTTGGCATTGTGGTTGGTGGCAAGCAGAGTCAGAGAAAGGGGATTTGTCAGCCTACACATGAAAGCAACGGAGAAGCAGACCCCCAGGGAGGGAAGTAGAGGTGGGTGCTAACAAGGATAATGCAAGATGTATGACTCACTCATACCTTACTAGTGGCTTCACAGTTGTAAAATAATTATAAAAGGTCAGTTGGTTTATATATTCGAATCGTTAGTACTTTCTATTCATTTATTCATTTTTTGCTTTAAAGAATTTATATGTAAATAATAGAAAAACATTACAAAAGAATGAAAAGCACAAGCACAAGTATGTTCACCATAGTGTGGTATAAAATGACAGAAAGAAAATAAGTTGAAAAATCTAAATGTTTTAAAAGAAAGACAAAGGTAACTTGGTTGTATAACTACTGAATTAAAAATTCCCTCAGACTGTCTAAATTGAATAAACACTCAAATTTATGACATGGAATATCATAAGAATATTTGCCCTGAAATAGATATATTTCTACCTGAACTACAAGTTCACCTACAGGCACGAACACAGCAATGATTAACACATGGGATATTTTCACAGTCAAGCCTCTGGACCACTGTGGCTTCCATTTAGGAGGCTAGAAAGTCACATGGGGATTAAACCATTTACTCAACTTGTAACCCAACGATATTCCAAGGCAACTGAGTTGTGATCTGGAGCCTGTGCAATTAGTGATATCCTAAACCACTCTATGTAATTTGTAAAATCAGCATCAACCAAAACATTTTTAAGCATGACAATGTATTTTTCCTTTCATTGGTTTTTGTCTATGATAGCGATCATAAGCATTTACCCCATTTTACCTATCATTTCATTTTAATTACATGAAGGTTACCTTAATACTTCCATAATGTTAAATGTTCAATGAATATAATACCTAATTATTAGTGTTATTTTCTTTGGTGCCATCATCTGAAGTAAGAAAAACTATTACATCTATTATTTATGAATATAAACATAAGATTCCTAAATACAAATGTTGCTTTGGTTTTAACGGCACACATTTATCCTCTAGGATATGATCCATGGAAATGTAAATGAGACACCTTAATTGAATTTAGCCCTCATTCCCAGCAACATTTTTCTCTGCAGTGATGGGAAAGAAACAGGGTTAATTATCACAAACCCTCAGATAATTATGTTGGAATGCTGTGGAACAAATGTGCACATTATGTCTCTTGAGAATTTGTATTAGAACATCTCTGCACCAAAAGACATTTGATTAACACATTTTTATTTATATCACTTGATAATGCATATTCTAGAAAGAATAAATTACCTTCAGTTTTTCTTTAAGCTCCATGAGAGACCCACATAATTCAGTAATAGATTCAAGAATCTCCTTGTGTCTTGTGACAGTCTTCTCAGTATATTTCTTCCCTTCTTCTAAACCTGGGAAAGAGCAGAGGCACTTTACAGAATGAGATAGAACATTTGCCACTGGTTTACATCTGATGAGAGGTTAGAGTCCAGAAGAACTCAGGCAACTCAACAGGCACACACCCCCACCCTGAATCGAACGTAAAAAGCAGCAATAGCTGGAAACACACATTTCTTAAAAGAAGATGCTCATGCTGGTCTATGGATGTAGCCCAATGGCCAAGGTTCACTTGGTATATTTGAGGTTGTATCCTAGTTTTCTTCAGTTTTTTCATCTGCTGTTGTGATAAAATACTGAGCAAAAGCATCCTAAGGAGCAAGGGTTTATTTCAGCTTATAGTTTACAATCCATCATTAAGGGAAGTCAAGGCAGAACTTGGAGGCAGGAAATAAATTAGAAACCATGGAGGAATGTTGCCCACAGGCTGGGTTGCTCAGCTTGATCAGTTACCTTTCTTATACAACTCAGGCTCCCCTACTCAGGGGTGACACTACTCATGCATAACTTGTCTCTCTCACACCAATCAGAAATCAATAAAATGCCCCCATAGACACACCTACAGGCAAATACAATGGAGAAAATTACTACTGAGATTCCCTATTGCCAAGTATGTTTAGGTTTGTGTCAAACTGAACAAAACTAACCATGACAGGCCCTAAATTCAACCCATAACACCAGTCATAGGAGGTAAAAGTTACACACATAACAAGGCAAACATGTGCTATGCAGTGACTTCTAGGCCTAGACCTTGTTTCTTGCCTGTAGGGGTGGTACCATACTTGCTTTCTACATAAACCCTTGGGACAGCTTCTGATGCATAGGAGGCACTCACAGTTAGTTTTTGAGATAAATTTATTTGTGTTAAAAATTTGGATCCTGATTGGATGTGCAGGTAAAAGCACTTGCTTTCAAGACTGGAGACCCAAGATAGAACACTGACATCTACATGGTGGAGGCGGAGAACTCACTCCCACAGGTTCAGGGATCAGTAATGCTTTTGTCATCTGCAAGGCTTTATTTCTTATTCCTAAAGTAATTGTGTAATGCAGCCTAAAAGATGGATAACTTCTTGGAGGGGCGAGTAAGTTAAGGTGTCTACTGCCAAACCTGATGACCTGAGTTTGATTCCCAGGACTCACTTGGTAGAAGGAAGGACGTGATTCTGCGATTTGTCCTCTGACCTCTAGATGTGTGCTATGGTCTGTGTAGTCTACATATATCACACACTCTTCATACACACACAGGCACAAAATAAATAAGTAAAATAATTTAAAAGGCGTGTAGGTTCCATGCTAAATGTGTGGAAATGCATAAAAATCCATATTTGTGATCATAATGTTCAACTACTCTCTGATTCCTGCAGCAGTTAGTGAGCCCTCAGTACATGCTATGATGCTAAGACGACAGGTGAGATTTCTAGGATAATTCACTAGAGTATAACTAATACAAATATCAGTTACTAATAAGGGCCAGAGCAGTCAACAAGTCAGGACCCAGAACTCTGCAAGGTTGTAGAAGAATGTGACTTGATGGGATCTTTGTGAGTACTTACTATGTCTTGGCATTGAACAGGCACTGTAATACAGCATATTATATTCTCCCTTTACCCACCAGCACATAAAACAGACAAAGAAGTGTCTAAACTATCATATGGAAAGCAAAATCAAGACAGAAATCCACAGTGCTTAGGTGCCCTAAGACTTCCTTTTTAACATGCTTAGATAGTAACCACCCACGACAAGAGAGACACCTATCACTTTTCATTAGCTTCCCAGCTGATATTTTAGTGTTCTTGCTATTTTTACTATTTTCCTTGAAAAATAATAAACAATTTATTCTCAAGGGTTTCCTATTAGGCATTCAGTGTACTCTATGTTGCTAAGCATTTTGTGTCTGTCTGGGAGCCGGGATGCTATAGACTGAATGTCTGCCTGGAACAGCCTGAGGCAGCCAGAGGCCACTTTCTGAATGACCTACTAATGTCTTTCTCTAGGCTGCCTTTGCCTGGTCACTGGCCATTTCCTGTGTCTATCAGGATCACATCAGAGAAGTCACAGAACTGCTCTCTCAGGGCCTCGAGCATTGTCAGTCAGGGACTTCTTGTAAGAAAAAGTGCTTGGCTTCTTCCACTCTTTCCTCACCATGGAGGAGAAGAAATCAGCTGTGAAGTGACAGAGTGAGAAGAAGATGAGGAAGAGTTTGCCAGTTGTGTCTCAAATCTGCAAATCAGACTTTCATGGAAACAAGAGGTTGATGACCTTTATGGTAAGATCTGTGCCAGCTAGCACTGGATCTTCTCACACTTAAGGAGTCACTCTAGTGGATATTATACTCTTTGTCTATAGAATGTGGTTCCGGTTTCATTGCCCTGGAGAAGAATGGCAAGGATGGAATGCAAAGTGCGCAGGGAAGGAGGCTGATACAAGAGAGTTAGACCCAGGCTTCCTCTCCTGCTGTGGGAAGTCCTGCCCTCTATTCCCTTCTGCTTACTTTTGCTGCATGTGAATGCATCTTGAGACTTTTTCAGAATAGGTGGGGATAGTGAGGGCCTTGATCTCCTTTCTGCTTGATTAGGTTCAGTATTGACTTGTTAAGTAGCAATCACTATCAAATGAGAACTCACCATATAAGCGCTGAGCAAGGTCGATGACCTCCTGAATCCTTTCTTCTTGCTGAGGCACTGAAGGAGTGATAAACTTGTTGAACTGCCTGTGGAGGATTTCCACAGCTTCCTTTGTTTGGCACTCCATGGAATACTTCCCAACTCTTACAACTGTGGCACTTGCATCCTCATACCAAAAGTTACACTATATCCAAATGAAAGGAATCACAAATTAAAGAGATGTGTTCTGAAGTTCTTCATATTTGATCAATGAATGACATTTCGGTTTTTGATTTCCTCAAACTTGTCCATATAGCCTTAAACTTTCCAAGTCATATTAAAGAAAGCATCAGCACATAGTCATATACCTTTTCACTTAGAGACCCAATATGGCATTTTGAAAGAAAATGGCCCCCAAAGGGAGTGGCATTACTAGGAGATGGGACCTTGTTGAAGTAGGAATGGCCTTGTTGGAGGAAATGTGTCACTATGGGAGTGGGTTTTCAGGTCTCTTTTGCTCAAGTTTCCCTCAGTATGACACGGAGACACTTCCTGCTGCCTGCAAGATGTAGGACTCTCGGCTACGTCTTTAGTACCATGTCTGCCTGCATGCAACCATATTCCACCATGATGATAATGGACTGAACCTCTGAAACTTTAAGTGAGTCATCCCAATTAAATGGTTTCCTTTATAATAGTTGCCATGGTCACGGTGTCTCTTTACAGCAATAGAAATCCTAACTAAGACACCCAAGGCACAAATTTTTAAAGCATAATTAAAGAAATATACATTAATACAATTAGAAAGCAAAAGTGGGGAAATAACTTTGATTCTTGTGCCTTAGATTTGTCTAAAACATAATTCCTAAAGCAATGTTGTATGACTTTTAAGAGCAAGAAGCAAAAGCATTTAGATACTAAAAGGTACTCAAACATTGGTTGGATAATACTCAAAATCCAGTATAATCAACAAATACTACTAATAAATCCATAAGTAAATTTTTTCTTAGTAATATTATAATGATACATTTTCATTTCAGAATGAAATTTTGAGTGTAAATTCACGGAAAAGAATTCTACCTTCATAAAATAGAACTAGTCATTATTTCGAAGCACAGTAGAGGTATGAAACAATTTTTCACTAAAAATAAATAACTATGACAGGAGGAATGTCTGTCCCAGGCCAAATGCATTTGTGCTAAGTAAAAACATAGCAAAACAGGACTCTGTGACAAGCTGTTTTCATCATCATGTATCAAAGAATAATCAGCTGCTTCACAATGTGATATTAAGTCCAAACACTACATGGTATTAGCAGGACAGAAAGATATTTTCAGATATTTCAGAGTAACAGGCAACAAAGGACAGTCAAAACCCTCAGGTGTGATTTCTCTGATATAAAATATGAGGCTATGGTTTGACCTTGTTAAACCTCATGTGTTTTAGGTGGACTACAACTATCCCCTTGCCAGTAACCAAGGTTACAGCCAGTAATGAAGTACATGGGATATCCCATTATCAGGTTATTTTGAAATGTTATCAAGTGGTGTGAAATAAATATAATACTTAAGAGTTGAAACAGATTTCCAGCAGTGATTATAACATTTGAGTTGAAGTTATGAAGAAATGGAAACCCTTATGGTATTGGGAGAAGTAAATTAATCAAAGTTTCCTGAAGAGCAACTAGATGATGCAGAAAAACAAAATCCTTGTGGCTGCCTTTCATTCCCTTTGACCTGGTGGTTCAACTTTTGGGAATTAACCTAAAAGCAATAATGAAAAGGAGCATGACCAGGGCTTTCATGGCAGCTATAACTAACACAGCATTGGAGCAATGGGCAAGTGGTTAAGAGCATTGGTTGCCTTTCCAAAGGTTCTGAGTTTGATCCCCAGGACCCACATGACAAGTCGAAACTGTCTGTAACTCCAATCCTAGAGGGATTGAACACCTGCTTCTGTTCTTCACAGGCACTGCATATATATGGTGCAGAGACATACATGCAGATAAAACACCCACATGCATAAAATAAAAATAAAGATTAATAAATAATTTTTAGAATAGCATTTTAAAAGAAGCAGGATAGTGTTTTACTACAGAGTCTAAACTGTACTTGAACTTGCGATCTTTTGCTTCTGCCTCCAACTACTGAGATTAAAGAGTTCTCCACCATGCTCCGGACAATACATATTTTGAGTAACATTGCAGAAATAATATAATTACAATAAGAAGAAAATACCTCTTCTATTACTTCCTGGAGATGTTCAGTCAGGTCCAAATTCATCTTGTAGTCTGTCACAACTTTGTCAAAGTCATTCACATGCTTTTGCAAATCCTCCATGGCTTCCAAAAGGATGTTAACTTTGTTACTTGGATAACTTAAGAATGAATCAGAAGTTTTACTATTAACTTTTTCCATTTTCTTCCTTAAAGCCTGTGTGGGGGGGTGGTAAAGGTTTTTAAAAGGTAATTATATTCTTACTTATGATGCTAGTGGTAAACAGAGTAACAGACAAACTGGTTGCTTCTATCATTCTGATATCTTAAAATTATAATCACTGTAAATGTACTTTGGAAAGAATAGGTTTTCACCAAGATATTTTATTCAGTCAGTATTTGCAAATATACAGAAAATGTAGAAATAATATAAGATATACATATATAATAAGGAGCTCTGGAATCTATGATGGACATTCTGGACATGTGTGAGAACAGAAAGGAAAAAAGGCAGAGGGCACTCAAAGCACATAGGTACACATACATGAGCATGCGCTGGGCAAGCATGGCAACGCATTGGCCTTGTGTGTTTATCAGAAACTATTCCAGCGCTCCTCATCACATTGGTCTCAACACGCATCATTGGTGCTAGGTTAAGTGATGGGGCCAGAAACTTTGCTGTGCTGTTGCTACAGGCACCCAAACATGCTGATGTGCTGATGATAGCGCTGGTGATGACCAAGCACAAGGGTCTTGAATGATTTCAGAATAAACTGTGAGTATCCTTAGACATGGTTCTAGCCTGGCTTAAATAATATTCAACATTTGCATGTACTGAAATAAAACATGGTACCCCAAAAGTACACACATTTCTTCTGTTTTCATGTGTCCATTGGGAATGATTTAAAACTTAAAAAATGAGTAAGATAAAAGCTCACAGAATGAATTGTTTTCTGGGTAGAACTCTGCCACAAGTTACTCAGTGAAATCTTCCCTGTAAGTTAGTCCATTTAAAATCAACATCATATTACTTTATACCAAACAAATAGCTAAAACATTTTCAGGAAAACCAACTCTGGATTATAAAGGATCAAGTTATTGTTTTTAAAGAAGAAAACTAGATAAATCAAATTCTATTTATTTCATTCAAGAAGTCAAATATTATAAAAATAGAAAGCTACCCATTCCATCTCAATTCTGTTAAAAAAAAAGAGTAATGCCTGGATTGCAAAGATTTTGCATGAATTACAGTAACCACACACACACACACACACACACACACACACACACACACACACACGTCCATGCACACACATACATAATTTTCTTATTACCTGAATTTTTTCAGCATACATATCAACTTGTTGGATTTGATATTGAAGAGTCTTTAGGTTTCGAGATTTTTCATTTTTCTTGGAGTAATTAAACTTCAGATTGTTGAATTTCTTTTTTATATCTTTGAATGACTCTTTGAGCTACAGTTTAATAAAAAATAGTTATAATTTCCTTACAATTAGAAGACTATATTCATTGTTGTGAATAAAACTATCTAAACATTTCCAAATATTCATCATTTTAAATCTGTCTTTTGAATAATTTCAATCAAAACTGAATCTCCTACCTGGATATTTGTCCTTTAATAAAAGTGCTTTCTGACAAATTATTTTAAACTCAGTATGGTCACAGATTATCCCATTGGTTGCCAAACAAGAAAGTATCTAACATCTTGAACATAAACTTTTGCTAACTCAAATTGTCTTATTTGTATTTATTTTGTATAAAATTTGACACTCATTCCATTTTCTGCATGCTAGTGTTGTTCTATATTTTTCCATATACTGGAACTCTCTCATATTCATTATGTATAAAATTATTAAGGCTCCAAGGAGCTAGTCATGATGAAGATGTCAATGAGGGTTTGACTTTTAAAATTGCCAGTACCGTATCTCAGATTTAGTGAGAAAGGAGTTTTATTTGTCCAGTTCAAGTTATTTCCATGAGCAAGTTTTACTTTTTGGATGGAGAACATGAACTTTGAAAATACAAACAGATGAAAAATACAAAGTAAGAGTCATTGCCACCAAGGGCAATGCTGACTTTTGTATAGACAGGGCATATTATGATGGTCTTACAAACAGTTCATCTTTACCATAAGATTCTAAGCAAGCAACCTGGGACTTTTACATTCTGCTTTCTGTTGCTTCTACATATTCATGAAGGCTAAGTGTACTTCTAGGCAACTCTCACTTCATATTATCAGCAAAGGGGAGCACAAAGGAAACATAAAACCTAAGATAATATGGGAGCTTTCACAACAACAAAGAATCATGTCATGGTTGATAAATCTGAGCGATGGAAAGAAAAGTTAGAAATACATTAAATTTTTTTCAATAATAGCAAACAAATACCTGAGAGTATATAAATGCTGAGCACATGCTACATCTTAGACTCAAAATATAGAAAAAATATCTGCCCTAGAAAATGCATGCTTTCTCAAAATGTTACTCCAAACTTTCCATATTGTGGAAATAAAACATTGTCTTTATCTTTAACTTTTCTTGAAACTCTACAAGGCCCTGGCAGACCTGATTTTGTAGAAATTATTATACTTACGCTTTATTGCATATGAAGTACTTATACTCAACCAACATTGGTTTTTTTTACATAGAAAATGACATTGTTGAATATTAGTTTTAAGGTACATACAAAACCAAGAACAGTGACCATAAAACCACTTTACTTGATAAACCAACAAAGTCCAGAAACAGTGGAAAGTGCTGTAACTTCAAATTTGGAAAATGACTTCTATAACAGGAGACCACAAAATATTTAAATATCCTATTAAGCTGGTATGTTTATGAAATAGTCGTTAAATATTTACATTCTGAGATACTTGATATTTTAATGTACATGTGTTAATTCTAGCAGAAAGGGATAACTGAGGTACATTTTATGATACTAGAATATTTAAAAAAGTATATCCTGAGTAATTAATAGGAAACTGAGGTAGGCTCTTTTTATATCCCTAAATTGCAATCTGCAACTATAAGTTAATAAATACCCTATCTGAGGCAACCAGAGATGGTTATTTAAAAATTCCTTCAATGACAAGTTAGCTGTATAGATATTCTGTTCGAGATGATTACAAACATGTGCTGATGGAGAGTGCGTTGGTTGAACTCTAAGGCATATGGACTAAATACCACTGAGCAGCACACAAAGGGGTTAAGATGGCCAGAGTAATGTTGCAGTATTTACCACAATTAACAACCAAATTATTCAAGGTACGAGAGTGCATGCCTATAGTCCCAGGGTTCAGGATGCTGAAGAAGGGGGATCATAAAGTCAAAGACAGCCCAGATCATACAGTGAGAACCTGTGTCAAAAAAAAAGGTTGGGGAAATGGTTTAGTGGATTAAGTGCTTGATGTAAAAGTGTGAGAACCTGAGTTTAGATCCCACAAACCACGTAAAGCCAAACATGGCAGCATGTGCCTGTGATCTCAGTGCTCTTAAAGGTAAGATGGGAGGCAGAGAAAAGAATTCCCAGGAGCTCATGGGCCAGCTAGCCTGCAAAGACAGCCCAGGAGACTGTTTCAAACTAAGTAGAAGGAGTGTCCTCTGGCTGCCACACATACAATGTCGTATTTCAGCACCTGAACTCACATACACAAACATGTACTCATGTACACATCATGCACACACAAAATGCAATTAAATAAGGTAAAGTAATAAAATAAGCATTACAGAAGAAATAAAGGTATACAGTCACTGGCAGTTATGCACCTTACTCTGTTTATTGGAACATGGTATTATAGACTTCAGTCTAGAGGAAAGAAGAGAGGTTCTGCCATCACCTTGATAGCCAAAGGGTTTTATTGCTTCTTCAACAGGAAGGTCTAACATTTATTTGAAAGCTGTCTGAGGAATACAGAAAGACAGCCCTAACACTTTCGCTCTAAACCATAAGCTTTCTCGTTTACTCTGGTTTTAAAAACACTAGCTTTGTAACTGGTGAGAATGACTTCATTTCTGTGTCAGCATGCATGCATTTCCACTGAAGATAATTTAGAAGGCCAAAGAATGTTCGTGACGCTATGGTATGTGAAATGTGATAGCTTCGTTCTGACACACAAGCTCTCTCCACAGAGGTGCTGGCACTGTTCTTATTTGGTTACACTGGAAATCTCAGTCAAAGTCTAAGCTCTTGCCACTTTCCTAATGCAAATTCAAGACTACCGAACACACAGAGAGAAGGGAGCATGGGTGAACTGCCTCTATCATTAACAAATATAGCCACACTTCATTGTTCTAACCTGCACATTCCAGTATGAAAACTTAATCTAATCCCCACGTAACTTGGCATCATAGTTTTAAAGGAACAGAGTGCTATGGTCACTGACCTGGGGTATCGTTGTCCATGCAGCTGTTTCTAACTTTAGTGAGCTTGTCAACAATGGGAAACGGCGGAGATGGTTAAGACAACTGCCCAGCTTGAGCATAGAAGCAGACACACACACACACACCCCAGCAGCATGGGGACAAAAATCGTTTATTCAATAGAAATCTTTAAATGCTGTTTTTCACATTGGTAAAATGTATGCATCAAGGATATAAGGATCTTTTTCCAGTGAGCCATTTTATTCTTCTCTCCTTGTACATGTACAGCTCTCTGTGTATGCATATGGAGTAAGTGGACTAAACTGACATGGCTACACTTAGAAACAGACACTAAAATTTAAAAGCAGGTCTTTTTTTTGAAATGACAAAAATTATCCTTGTCATAATTTTCCCAGTGAGTGGTAAGTCTCCTTTCAGTGCTAGGAATGAGAGAACTTCTGTGGAAACAGAAGAATAAGAGGCTCCAGGCCGGCCAGGCTAGCTTGCTATTCTTAGTCTTGACTAAGCCGGTTGAGGCCCCTTTCACAGGAATGTATTATGTGTAAGTCTGGTGCTGGCAAGACCAACTGGCGCGAGGGACATGGGCTATTTAAAACCAAGGCAATGGAATCGCAAAGAAAATCTTGCATTAGAACGATGGCATACTTCTGGCCACCCCCCGCCCCAATTCCAAAATGAGCAGTCAATTTTCATTTGTCTAGCATTCACTTCACAAGGGCCACGCCTTATCCAGTTTGCCCATTCCAGATGAGAGAGCTATCTGAGGTTCATTTTCCATAACTGAAGGCCGTAATGCATCTCTGGGAGATGCCTGAATTTGAAACGAAGATATCCAAAGACTCAAAATCTATCCTGATTTTACTGCAAATATTAGTGTAGGGCATTGAGTCTCAGTGCTGGAAAGATTTCTGGAGAGATCTTTTGGGCTTTCTCCCAATTTGGTAGCCACAGCTTCCTCAGCTTCAGGCCTCATAGCAACAGGAAGTGGGACAAATTGAAAAGCAAAGACCTGTTCCAAACCGCAGGCAGCAGTCAGTCTCAGCAATAAACATGATCCTGAATATATAGCATCTTCATGATGAATTTAATGCATTTTATTTGTTCTCTTTGGGGTATGCTAACTATAATTTTAAATGTGAGCTGCCCATACTCTCCAGAAAGTCCTGCAGGGTATTTTACAGATATCAAATACAAGTTAAATTTTTGAACCTTCAATGATGATCATTTTCTGAACAAATTGTATTTTTTTCCTTTCCCCTTATACATGCCACCCAAATGCAGCTGGGTCAGGGCCTGCTGAGCAGACAGCTATGGCTGTGAAGTGTTGTGTGGGTTTTCATTGTCTCGGTACTCTTAAGTCTTCTGTGGACATTTTCAGTGTTACAGCCTGGCTCATGTTAGCCATGTTAAACGCATTTGTTGTGTGAAGACAATTTAATATTTTTTTAAAATAACAAGTATGAATTACAAATCTGAACAATGAATATTGTCTGTATTTTTTCCACAGTGATGCCCCACAGGGTGGATTGTTTTCTATGCAAACTTTTCTGTGCTCTTTCCTGCCATACTGGCTGTGCATGCTCATTCTGTCATGGGAGAAGTGCCAACAATGTTGGGTAGTTTCCCTCATAGTGCATATGTGCTTATAAAGGTACTGTTCCTCGGTGATAATCTACAGCTCCTTATTACTTTCTGTGTCTAGCTCTCAGACAGCAAATCCATCTATATTGACCACAGATTTTGATGGGTTAGTGCCTGGCATATGGAATGCATATGCTAAATCCTTTCCTTCTTAACCTCCAATAGGAAAGATGTTGCTATCCTAGAGGAGACTTTCCAGGGTAAGGTGACATAATTGCCTGGAAGCTTCTGTATGGAACACTTATTTTGAAAAAATGGATGCCAGCCTGATTCTGTCATCGCTATTCTTCCCAGAAAAGTAATTGTTTGTGACACAAAATATGAGCCGTGAAGATATAAATCCCCCACTGTCATCATGTAAACATAAGTGTTATTTTTTTTTGGTCAGCTTGCACAAAGGAAACATGTTTCTTACTAACATACTACCCTTCTAAACATAGCTATAAACAGATGATGTTCCTCCGCAATGTAATATGGTTGTGGAAATTTCTAGAATGTTTTGTGTGTTAATGATATATTCACATGGCCAGGTAAGAAAATAAAAAGTACTATTGAGCAGTTATGCATGCAAATGCATTCTTGCATGAAATGGGTAAGAAAAAAATGTCCTAAAATCTGGCAGTTTGACAGTTGTGCTTCTCATGGGTAAATGTTAAGAAAGTGAGTTTTTCAAAAATTTGCTATGCATAAAAATATGCAAAGATAATGAAACACAAAAGATATTGCTTCATGTCTTTAAAGAACATCACATCTTATTTTTAAAATCACATTTAGAGCTGCTTCCACTCTCTTGACTTAAGGTACAAAGTCCCTCTGTAAGGACCTGAGTGAAGAGACTAAGTTAGTTCCAGTAAAGTCAAGAGAAACAAATCAATGGTGACAGATCATTCCTACATCTTATAATTGGTGTGTTGGAAGACAGGGATAGAAATGGTTGAATGGGACTATACTGACAGAATGGTTTACTCTGGATAAGTACACACCAAACACACTCATGACCAGATAAATCTTGGCTAAAAGTTGACCCAAAAGACTTCAGACAGAAGGTCTGTAGTCTTCTAGTGCTCTGTTGAGATGAGTCTCTATCACACACACCTTCATTTTGTCAAATAAAAAACGAAGGCATTAAGTCAGATAGTCTCCAAAGTCTATTGCAACTCAATGTCTATGAACCTTCATGAACTACTTTGGTTGCACTGAGAGTGAAACAATGTGTTTTGTGATCAAATTTAATTAAATGTTAAGTATGGCCTAGTTCCCTGGCAAAGTGTTACTCATTTGTTTATACCAGAAAAATACTTAACACACTGCATCTCAAATTTTGTTGTTTGTTTTGAAATGGGGTCTTGTATAGTTCACACTGTCCTCAAACTTGCTCTGCTTTCAAGACTGGCCTTGAACTCCTGCTCTCCCTACCATTACCTCCAAAGTGCTTGGAAAATAGGCATGTGCTACCTTGTCCGACTTTATTTCATTTCATATAGTACTTTAGATACTGATGTCTAAACAAATAATACATGTAGATGCTAAATATTGCCACCATGGAAACATCAACTCAATTTCCTCTCATAGTCACAGGTCAAAATAGAGTAAGACACATCTTCATTTTATTTAACTAAGAGGCATCAAAAATATACTTTCTGGTTATTTTCCCACTAATTTGGTGTTTGTAAAATCCAGAACGTGAATGCTGCACTTACTTCAACATGCCTGTCATGTCACTACAAAAGACAAAACCCCAGACAAAAACAAATGGAAAAAAAAGTATAGAAGAACCAGGATTTTCATAGGTCTTCCAAATGTGAAAGTGTAGCCTAAAGATTAATTGGATTAGAAATAGAAGCAAGGAAGAATGACACTTCTCTTAGTAGTTAAGACTGTGTTTAAGTGATACCCAAACAGCTGTCAAACACATAGGCCTCTGCTTGCTCACTCCTGAGGTGGTACAGACAATCACGGAGTGTCCCTACTATGACTGAAAGGGTCATGTGTCATCTGGGCTGGCTCTGAGGCCGAGTTCATCTTGAGGATATCCCTATAAATAGAACTGTTGGAAGGGTCTGGGTAGGGGAACCTAACTTCATACATGCCACAGCTCTTTGGGGACATGGAAACCCACCAAGGCAGGCCTGGGAACACACTTATCCCACTCTATTGGTAGTCTCTGTAGGTACAGAGCTGCTCCATTTCTGCATAGGGGGACGTTTGGACAAAGTAAGGGAGGGGAAAAAATGAAGAGAAGGAAGATGAGGCAGGGAAGAGAAAAAGAAGACAGAAATTCTGGAGAAAGATCATTTTTAAAAATGGCCATGAAGCAGCAGCAAACAGGCCTAATGGAAGTGCAGACTGTTGCACAGGGAACTGGGGAGGCTGCCCCCCATGGAGAGGACAGACTACAGTGTGGAGTCATCAGAATGTGAGCCAGACCAGGAAGGGAAAGCATGCAGCGTTGGAGCACACTGCTAACGTGAAAGCCATGCCAGCTGCTTCTCCCTGGCCCCTCCCATTGGACTGGATATAGCAGCTGCTCCTGATCTCGTCTACCTTTCTTCTAGAATGCTCCCTCTATATCCTGCCTGTGACCTGCAGGAAGGGTGTGTGCTTCAACGCTGACCACTGTTAAAGCTTAATTGCCCATCCTTTAACCTGCCAGTTGATGGTTCTCAAAACCTGGTGGACCCGATTATGCAGACTGGACATAAAGTAAAAGCTCAAGAAAGTCAGTTAGTTGCCTTTTCTCTCAGCCAGTTTCTTAGTGGACTCGAAGATTTTACCCCCAATGCAGACAGACGTGGAATCATCACTGTCCTGATGTATTTTCCCTAGAACCAGTCCATGATGGGTGGGAGACCACTATGCTCAGCAGTAAACAACCAGCACACACGCCATGAATGAAAAGCTTAACTGCAGGTTGGGGCTGGAAGTGAAGGAGGGGGGACTGAATACATGTCAGGGCTGAGAACAGTTGATGGAGGGAAGGAGAAATTGTGTCCTTGGGGATGTAGGGATGGAAGATCCCTTCTTTCTTTTCTTCAAGAGGTCTTTTGTCACAAGAGTCACCAGTTTAACTCAACATGAAGCAAGTCACTTGACTTTGGGAAAAAAAGCCTGTGGTCTCTGAAGCAAAGAAGGCTGCCCTCAGCACCTCCCTGCCCTCAGCACCTCCCTGCCCTCAGCACCTCCTTTCCCCTGAGTCAATGGTACTTAAATAGAATGTCAGCAGGTTGGAGCAAGCTGCCACACAGGACACTGCCTCCCTTTCTTCTATGTCCTTAAAAAGCTGTGTCCACTCAAGTAGTATGAAACACATGGACACACAGACACACACACACACACACAGACACACACACACACACACACACACACACACCTCGAAATGAAAACAGTAACCAAAACCCAAAACCTTGAATTTTGTATTCAGGTGTTTTCTATGCGTCGACACCATCTTGACTTCAACATATTTGGGAGCTTGACGTTTATTCAAACTTTAGGCACCCCAAGGCTACTCTGAGAATAAAAAGTGTTCTGATTCTCTCTCTCTCTTTCTGTGTGTGTGTGTGTGTGTGTGTGTGTGTGTGTGTGTGTGTGTGTAGTGTGCAGTGTCCAAGCATGAATACACATACACAGACACCGGGACACATGTGTGTCCTTTTTCAAAGATGTACCTCATTGATCTCATCTCGTGTGCTGCAGTACTCCAGGTTGCAGGACAGGACCCGTTCACGTTCTTTGGCGTTGGCACTCCAGTTCCTGCTCTCCAATTCAAGGACTTCCAGCTGCTGCTGTAGGTTCTTTGCAGAAATATTGGAGCAGTTCTGGAAATGAAGGGTATGTGGGAATAACCAAAAGAAGCTGTGAAATGGTCGCACGACAACACATCATTTGCCTGTATTGTGATGCTCACAAATAGCTTTAAAAGAGATGTAGGGTCCTACTTTATTTTACCCTAAACATATGTGAATCTAATTATTTTAGGAAGAAGTAGAAACTCAATATTACGGATGAGACATTTCCATTCTTTAATCTCATCGCCAACCCAACTCCTCAGAGGTGTCACTCATGATAAGGTCTAATTTATACTTCAAAAAGCATAAAATATGCATTAGAAACATTCTGTCTCAGCGCTGTAATTTTCTCATCAACTTGAGTTTAACCTCAGGTTCATTATGCAACGGCTCCAATCTCTGTCTAGCACAGAGGGGATGTTGGCACCAAGGCCAGAAGAGGGCTAGAGAACAATTTATGCTATTTGTACAAAGTGAGATCCTACTTTCTTTTCACTTTTAAAAATAAATTTACAAATGTAATAAAACTCCTTAGCAAACTTTGACACTGGTCAAAATGGATTCTATTAAGAGCAATGAATTCTTATGTCCTGCCTTTTAACTTAAAGCACAGACACTAGGCTCACTATATCACATTTACCCTGGTGGGTACTATAAATGAATTTTAAAATGAAACTGTGGGTTTTATTAATGATGAAGTAAACATAACCTTTCCCCATCAAAGTATGAGCTTGGAGAATTTTTAAAGCATCGGAGTCCAGTGCATTGGTTATGAACTTTTGACTAGGAAATACATTCAGTTCTCTTAGGCTCCTCTGCTGACATCTGACCAGTGACCTAAAGCAGTCATAACAGCCCGTGTCACAACCCAGGTCAGAAGCAGAGGGCCTGACCCTCTCCACTCTGGGCTTTCATGGCTGGCTGGCCAGTATCTCTGGACTTCAGTTTCTTGTTCTATAAAATGGGGCTGCTGGTCTGACAAGACTCTAGGATCCAGTATTCTTTGGGATCTGTAATTCTGAAGCACCATTGTCCAGTAGAAATACACTGTGAGTCATGAGGTAATTGAACAACTTCCTATAGTTTCATTGAAAAGCAAAGAAAAATATAAATAAAATTAACCCTCACAGCATAATGTAGTTAACCATGTGTGTCCACATATTATTATTTACAACATATATCTAATATAAAAGATCTTTTGGATCACACATCTTTGAAATCTAACATGTTTATCACACGTTTGAATTTTTCTCAGCTGTGGCTAAATTTCTATCATAAATACTTGATCTAGATTCAAATTTCTCAAAATTTACAGTTCCAGAAACCTAATGTCCATCTGAGACCATGATTCTATTTTGAATTAACATGAGAATAACATTTATTAAATGCAGTTTTTATGCTCAGATTTTCTCCTTGAATTTTATTTGTTTGTTAACAGTGGTAGAAACTTACAAACAATAAGCACCCCATTGATTTCGTGTCTTTTTAAATTTAACATACTGAAGCTAGCAGATGGCTTAATAATGATGCATTTGGTTAGTAGTTATGAGGTTCTGGGTTCAGTCTCCAGCACCACACACAAAAGCATCAATTTAGATTAAACACATACTAGACCATCTACAGCCCACATGACCATGAGAGGGAGGCAGCTGTGATGATGTGCCAAGATGCTTACAGGCCGTTGAACAGATGAAATGATGTCCACTCCTAAGGAAAGCGCCAGCTGATGGAGATGCTCCACGTGAGCCTGCCTTTCCTGAGAACGGCTCAGTTGCCTCTGGACCTCCTCAAGACCTCCCAGTTCCATGGGCTGCGTGAGAAGCTCCAGTTCTCTTGATTTGGTGAAATGCATCAGCTGGAATCAGAACATTAGCACTTAACCTGCTTTTTCCAAAACCTGCTTTCTGCAATGCTTTACTCGCTTGTTGAAGTGCTACCCAGCCCATCCAGAATCATTAGTCCTATGGATACAGATACATGCTGCATTACAGCAAATCCAACAAGATTACTTTGATCAGTTCTATGAAAGAAGAAAATACATCTTGGGCCCATGATCCCAAACTCTAGCAAGATCTTGGTCTGTGATTTAAGTAAACTCAAAACTACTTTTAAAAAGATTTTCCTATTAATGGTTTTGAATATTTTTGCCTGCATACATCTGTGTACAAGTGTATACAATTATTTAGAGGTCAGAACAGGGTGCTGGAGTCTCTAACCCGGCATTAAAGATGGTTGTGAGCTGCCATGAAATAACCAGTAAGTGATATTTATTGAGTACTCCATGCTGACAGGGTCTTGACATGAAAAAAAAACGAAAGAAAGGAAGGAAGGAAAGAAGGAAGAAAGAAAGGAAGGAAGGAAGGAAGGAAGGAAGGAAGAAAGATCTTGTTTTTGATCACCCTGCCTCCCAAGAGCTAATGTTTCAGCTGGGAAAATAAAATCTAGTTTAATTTTAAAAAATAGCAGTCATGATGTTAGCAGTGCTAGATATAAGGACCAGCCATTGCTGTGGGAATTTAGAAGAATCACTGGGCAAGAAGGGGGTTTGCTGGAAGGAAACACAAAGCTTATTCTAACAGAGGGAAGAGAAGGATCTGCCAGGAAATGCCAAGCTGAGAGTTGAGACTTAAAGGTAGAAACGCAGGTGCCATACTCAAAGGACAAGGAAGAGCACAGCCGGCCTGCAGCATGAGGCGGGATAGAGGATGCAGTGAGAGATAAATGAACCGTCAGGGTGGGTAAACCTCTTATGCTAACACAAGCAACTTTGTTTCCATTTATTACACGATAATAACATTTTAGTTTAATCTTGCAACATCTTGCAACCTTCAGACAACTGCAGTAAGACTTACTTCCTCCTTGACTTGATGGAACTGGACCGTCTTGTACAGGAGCTCCTCATAATCCTGGATTCGCTCTCTCTGCCTCTCATGGAGATGGATTAGGTCCTTCAGTTGTTCAGACTTCTCCTTCAAAGGGGCTCCCTGACCACCTAACACTTCCCATTCTTTCATGATACACTGAACCTCATCATGCAGGTGCTGAAAATCACAAAAGCAACGGAAGACGAGCAGCTTTGAGTGTTTATTTTACAATGAAGAATATGATTATCTAAATAATACATCATTCTCCCATTCGTTAACAGATACATATGAGCCTTCTCAAAATCCAGATTTTACATTTAAATATGGAAATATCGAGACACATTGTTCAGTCCTTACCTTCTCAAAACTTTATAAACAACATGGGGGAAAAAAAGCAGGTGTTTCAAAGATAGATGGCAAAATAGAAAACCATTTGTGTCTATGACACACCAAATATACTGGGCTTCAGTCAATAGATACACTTTTTCTGACATTTAATATAGAGTAGGACTGTGTGGTATGATAAGGACACTGAGAAGATAAGTATAAAAATGCATCAAGGGAATTCCTTGTGCTCTGTAACGAAAGAATGATGAGAACGAAGCCCCAGCTGAACAGCACACCCGAGACACCACCTCAAAGCAGTAATGCCATAAGGCACAAATAGCCACCACATGGAGAAGGGATAAACTGCCTTCCCTTTTAGTCAGCACTGCTCTGGCATCCCATACGGGAATCCAGAGCTTGGAGGAGAGCTTCCAAAGGGCAGATAACTAAAAGAGAACCCTACTGCTATCCTAGGAGCAGATCTTGTATCAAAGGAAAAAGAAAAGGAAATGCTGTAGGCTAAAGAGATAATTTTCAGAAGACTGACTTGCTTTAGATTGCCAATTTCAAATGAAGTATGTGGACCCCAAATAGATGGCACACATCATGGTGACAGGACTAAATAACCTTGGCAATGGCTCCTAATTACGAGCTCATCCACATATCCAAATATGCACCACAAGATGTGTATGTGTACCACACAGGATATAACAAATTGGGCTAGTAATACTAAGTGGGAGTTTGCATAGAAGCATTTTCTGTGGACAGTGATGATATATGCATATATACATATGGAGTGTAATGATTATATTTCATATGTTTTGCCTTAACAGAACCTACAATTAGACATTTCCCAAAGGAATCTACAATCATCTGACTCTGGAACTCCTTAAAGCCAACACATATTAAGTGGTAAAACAAATAGATGCATCTCAGTTTTTAGACAAAACCCCAAGACCTAATAGTGTATGTTTGTAAGTCCGGACTTGGAAGATGGCGACAAAAAGATCAGGAGTTCAAGGTCACCTTTGGCTAAATAACACGTCTGAAGTCAGCCTGAACCACATGAGACTCTGTCTTAAAAAAATAAATAAAAAAAAGAATGACTGAGTTAAGAATTAAGTCCACATAAGACACTCTGACAGTCAGCCAGCCTTGGAAGTTGAGTCCAGGAGTGGCAGGGATACGGAGGGAAGGGCCCACGACGGGCACATGGCTTTATCTCCCACATCCAGAGGGCTTCCTTGGAGGGGGAATGAAGCCCACAGGAAAAAATCTATCAGGAAGGGAGTGCAGTAGAGCTTGATGCTGTTGTGTAGAAGCAGTGACAGTCCAGTGATTTGGGGACCAATGACAACAGAGCTTCTCGATTAAAGGTGGCCAATTTTGTTCTGAGATGCCTTCATTTAAAACACTCCCTAACAAAATAATGACAATATGGTGAACACACTAATAAATCAATTAGTAATATAGATTAAACTAATGTAAGATGAAAACATATTCAGGATTCAGTATGGCATTTGAATGTTTGGTTATCATCAAATACAAAAATATGTAGAGGAACATTAAGAAATGTGTTGTTACAAGGGATTTTTAGACCAAAAGGATACTTTTGTTAAAGAAAACAGAAGTTTATAAAACAAACGAACTGGGGAGTTGGGAGAGATTTTTTTTTCATTCGCCCAAACCCATGAATTCCCATCTTCACCTGAAGCTGAGGCTTCATGGCATTCCACCTTCTTCGCAGATCTGACATAGTCTGGAGGTTCCCTCCAAGGTCAAGTGCAGAGACAGGCATAAGAACTTCGTGGAGAAGTTTTACATTGTGGGTAGTCTGAAACAGACATTGAAATTTATGCATTTGTTTCTGACAGTTTAGTGCATGCGGTCACGTGGTGGTGACATGATGTGCCATTAAGCCAGTGAGGTTGGCCAAGGCCCTTAATTTCCTTGACTTTTATGTTACTTTTTTTTTTACCATAGTAACATATAACAAAATACACAGTTTTCACCATTTCTAAGTGTACAATGAAGTGGCATTAAACCATACATATCACTAGGCAACTGTCACCACCATCCACCTACAGACTGCTTTCATCAACCTGAACAGGAACTCCGAACCGTTAGACAACTCCCATTTCCTCTTCCCTTCTTGCATCCCCAGGGGGCATCCATTCTGATCTTTGTCTCTATGAATTTGGCTACAGGCTTGCAAATAAGCAGATGCACACAATTTCTGTCTCTTTGTGTTAGATGATTTCACTTGGTTTCGAGGCTCTATCACGTTGCATGTATCGGGATTTATTCTTTGGAAGGTACCATTCAACGTTCCTTTTTGTTTGTTTGTTTGTTTGTTTTGGTGCTAGGGTTCAAACCCAGAACCTTATGTATGCCAGGTAACCAGTCACTGAGTCGTTGCCCAGCCCATTTCCTTACCTTTTTAAGTTTCTCTTTGAATGCTTCCCATTGCTGTCTCACAGGCTTCCCTTCGGTGGCTTTGAGGTACCATGCCATTCGAAGACGGCTGAGTTCTTCCCTTCCAGTTGTTTGCTTTTCCATAATGTTCTTCATATTGTGCATCTCATTTTTAACATTTAATATTTCATTCTCTTTTGCCTGTTGAATTAATAATCCATGTAATAGCTTTCTTTCCTAAGAGATACATTTTTCTTCTGCATTCAGCTATTTTAGGTGACAAGCAATTCATAACACCAAAGCAGGATACAATTTAGACAGAGAAGCCTGGGCCCGTGTACAGAGGCACAGTTATCTTTAGACCTTTGCTCTCTTCTTAGACATCAGGTGCGGGGTCTTTAAAGACCTGAATGGTATTTAAGTGGTTTAGGGGGTTCTGATATAAAATGATATATTCTACAATTGTTATTTTTAAAATTTAATAAATTATTAAGGACATTAGACAACTACAATGGGAATAACTCTACGCTGTATTTTTATATATGCTATAAATAAAGTTGGGGTATCTTTTACACATTTTGGGGTGTTTTGAGACAGGGTTTCTCTGTGGCTTTGGAGGCTGTCCTGGAACTATCTCAAGTGCTGGGATTAAAGGTGTGTGCCAATCTTTTACATATTATTAAGAAGCTATTAAAGTATAAAGTATTCTTCAATGTGATATTAGCTGGGAATTACATTTTACCAATGACAACTACAGTCATAAGGGTATGGTGGTCTGAGTGAGGTCTAGAAAAAAGCAAGCTATCATAAGACTTGAGAGATAGCCAGCACGATATAAGAAGTGTTTTTTCCAATCCAGGAGATCAATAATTTGCCTTTAATATATTTAGGAAACATTGTTCTCACTTTACTTCAGTATAGCACATGAAAAATGTTGTGGTAATACATTCTAAATAAGGTATTAAATTATCCATTTGTCTTACGTTTATATTCATTCCTCATATACTGTTCTCTGATTTCTTGATTTTTGGATGTCTTGGTAGCAAGAAGGCTAATACTTAACAGAACTCTCAGTGTGCACTACTGAAAATTAATAAGTTGGAATGTTCATCTGCCAGACTTCTGGCTAAAGTCAATTAATTTGATTCAGACAAACTTTAGATGGAAAAAAATCAATTTCAAGTTTCAAAACACCAGTCACAGAAACACACCCAACTCGCCAGAAAGAACCAACTATCATCTCTCTACCATCTCCCAAGCCCCTCGCCACACTTCAACAGTGTGTACTTACAATACTAATGCTGTACAGATAGGGAGAATACCTGTAATTTCACCTATCAGAATGTCCACACATCAGTAAAGTTATTATGTAGACTTAATACTTTATTAATAAAGAACTTACCATTTGACTACTGAAATGACTAGCAATGATGAAGTGAAGATGTAAGACTATCAAGAAGTAGTGGAAAGATATGGTCTATTCCCATGAACAATATGAACTGGGATTTAAAAATAGCCTGGTAGTTTAGACATAGATTCAAGATGTGAGTTTGGACCCATGTCTTGCTGCAACCCATTCCTCAAGAAGATAACACTATCTGATTATTTATACAGGAGTGACACCTGACACTTGTTAAGGATTCACCAACCCTGGTAAAAGACAGGACTTCACATCAAAAGGCAAGAGGAAAAATGCACAACAGAAACATGAAAATACAAAAACAGACTACATGAAAATACAAAATTTGCAAATAACTTAATTCTCTTGTGATATAAACTAAAAACAACTAAACTTGAGATGAAAGGATATATATTAAGAGAATAAAATATGTAAAAGGTAAAAGGCTGAGTCAATGTTTAAAATGAAAAGTAGCTTAGTATTTGTACAATACACCAGAGTATAATACAAGAACATAGATAAACTGCTTGACAATATTTTTTCTGATGTTTCAGGAGGGTGGTATCTAATTTATAATTTTTTAGTGAATATTTTGGTTCTACACAGACTGATCACTAATATTTTTCAAACAACAAAAGTTAAAACAAAGGGGGAAAAGATGACTGTAAGTTGATTAGATGAGGGTGTTAAAACCTGATTCTGCCAAGTGATCTCTGTCTCCAGATTCATAGTGCAACTCTCAAGAAAATGGCAAATGTCAGTCATCTGTAAACATCTAGAGAAAGAAGGTCTAGAATATTAGAGAAAGGAAAATGGCCTGATTCTCAAATGGGGGCCATTCAGTATACAGATTGATAAGTTTCACATTGACAGTCAGGGTGGCTAGATCTTGCTTAAGTGCCCTAAGGTACAGGGGAGTAAGCCCTTAGAGTATCTTATTTGAGGAAGTTTCCCATTATGGAACTGAGTGTGTGTGTGTGTGTGTGTGTGTGTGTGTGTGTGTGTGTGTGTGTGTGTGTATGCCTGTGCATGTGTGTGCACGTGTGTATGGGGGATGAGTGTGTGGGTATGTACAATGGTAATTAGAGCAAGATATATTGGAAGCAGTAATGGTTGTTTGTTTTTTAAACTGTTAGTCAATAGATTACTTCAGGAACTAGGATGCCAATCTTCCTTTTAGACACTTTTGCTGAAGAAGTAATTACAACTATCAAAGATTGGCTTGATAAATCTACAGAATAAAGCCCAACAGAAACAGTTAATAGAGTAGATAGAGCCAAATTAATTTAACAGGATGAATCATAGGCTAAGGCCAAATGAAATCAGGCAAGAAATGTACAGACCTACATCTTTATGCGATAGCTAAAGATACAGAGAGCTGGGACTAGACTAAGCCTAAGACTAAAAAGGTCGTGTGAGTGGCACTGACTCATCACTCTATTAAGAGGACAGCAAGGAGAGATTATTGCTTAAAGTGTTAGCACCCTTATGTTTCCACTACAAGAAAAATGCATAGTTGGTGGTAGTTCAGCTTCTGATTTCCATTTCATGAGTGGGTTTAGCCAGTAGAAAATTTTAGCAAAGCATATCAGCCAGAAGGAAGAAACTATTTCATAAATGATAAATTTGTAAATACGTAGTTGTAGAAAAGACTCATATTAAACATAGCAACTGCTTTCAATGTTGGGAAGAAATTCATATGTCAGAGAAATTATCTATGAATGGTTTTGTGCCTACACAGCTACAGAGGCTTAGGACTAGATATGAAGATTGACTTATTTAACATTTTAAAAGCATTCTTTTTCAACAGCTAGCACTTTTTTCAACAACAAAAAAAAAGAGTTGTTTCACTGGGGAAATTCACTAGGCTCTGGGGGAGAAGTGAAGGAACCACATTCTAAGAATTCTATGGGCAACTTCAGATGGAAGGATATTTTGATTATTTAACACAGGACAACCAGGGTTTAGGATGTAGCTCTAAATGCCACGGATCTTCACTCTACAAAGATTCAGGGAAAGAGTGTCAAGAGGGAGAGAAGAGAGAGTGCCAAGGCAAGATAATATAACACATGCAATGTGAACATGGAGGGAGGGAATACTTAGAGTGGAGAGACTGAAGCTGGGATGGGTATGGGGCGGTAGGGATAACAGAGGGTTGGAGGTAGTTTTAAGCAAACAAAATCAGTCTTTGGAAACCAACTTCTTTAGAGCAAAGATTTATAGCAATTATTGTCTTTGTCCCTGGGAATTTTGTAAGGACCTAGCTGTCAACATAACTCAAAACTTTGGGATAGACTTCTGAGGACTCCCTACGTAGCATTTGAATGAGAATAGCTAAAATAGCTTTCTTGTGATACAAGACCTCTGCGAGCATAAGGCTTATAAACGCTGACCTTCAGAGCCAGTCCAGCTTGAGTGAAGTTGAAAAGCACCCCCTCTGCCAGGACTGCTGAGTAACAGACAGGCTGAACTTTAGAATGCATTATTTTCACTCTGAAGAATAATATCTACAAAAGGTGTTGGCTCACTAATTGTTACTCTCACCATATTTATTAAGTTAAGAAATTCAAGTCCTAAGTCTTGGGTCAAAAAACTCTTCTTTACAAACAGCTGCCATTGCCTTTCAGCAGAGTTAGACCAGTACTTGACATCAGTGTCGTCTTCATCTTTCTGAGGGATTTCCATCAGATAAAATTCCTTTAGTCTCCGAAGCTGCTCCTCCACCTAAAACAAAGAGGAGGCAGAGGAGAGGTAGGAAATTTTTAAACAAAAAGAACACAGATTCAATTTAAACCCTGTATAAAATTAAACTGAAACCACATTTTCAGCGTTCTTTAAAGAACTATTGACTATTTTCAAGTTACTGAAAAACATGAAAATCTGCTTCTGTAAGTGGCAGATAGGACTCCCACTGGTCAAGTGAGTTGACAAATTTATTGCCAACCAGAAATATTTATTGTACCCAAGATTATTTTTATGTATAGTTTACAATTAGAATAATTTATTTCAGAGATCAGGCGGCTGCTCTGTTTTAAACTGAGTTTTATAATTTAAAAAAGCACAGATTAAAAAATCAAGGAATTCAAATAAGGGGGATAAAAGCAATTCAGGAAAGGACAATTAGTAGTCAGCATATTACAATATTATGATTCATTAATTTTAACATAATATTTTTATTAATTGAGAATCTGAAACAATGATTTTGGTCATATTCTCCACCTACTCCTCAAATTTTCCTAGACCCAGCCCCAACTCCCAACTTCTTTTCCTCATCTTTGTTTTATAAATATAATCTGCGGATTCCAGTTAGTGCTGCTCATACATGCTCATGCGCATAGGACCATCCATGGAACATGGTCAATCTCCCAGGCACTGCGGTAAAGAAAACAAACCCAGGGCTATAGGGATGACTCAGCAGTTAAGAACAATGGTGCTCTTCCACAGGACTCAGGTTCAACTCCCAGCACACATGAGGCAGCTCTCAACCATCTGTAGCTTCAGTTATGGGAATCTTATGCCCTCTACGACCTCCACAGACACCAAGCACCCAGGAGGTACACAGGAAAACATGCAGGTAAAACGAGCATACATACACATTGCAATACAGTACAATAATAAAAAGAAATCTGACTCTCCGCCTGTCCCAGTGGCCATCGTCTATCAATAGGTCCTCAGTTGGAGGTAGGAGCTCATAAGCCCTCCCTCACCTTCCATGCTAGAACATTGACTAGCTTGATTTTGTACAGGTAAACCACAGCCACTGCGAGTTCAGGAGTGCGGCTGTCCTGCCATGTCCAGAGGACAGTGTTCTCCTTCAGTCCCTTCTGGTCCCTGACTCTTCCACTCTCTCCCTGCCCTCGATGCTGTGGTGGCGGTGGGTGGGTGAAGTATACTCATTTGTGGCTGAGCATTGTACTGTACAATTTATTTTTAATCACGGTGAACCATAATGAAAGGGTACAAATAATGACAAATTTTCTGTGGGAGCATTAATATTAAATACCTTCACAAGTGAATCTTATTAAGACACACTACTTGGCCTCCCTGGAACTACATTTTAGCATTTGCTAACCAATGTTAGCAGTACTCAATTATTTTAAATTACTCTCCTGAGCAGAGTTAATATACAATCAAATGTGTAACTATAGATTAACAAGCAATGGGGTGATATAGAATTAGTACAAAGCATTTGGAACTAATTTGTATGCCTTTTGAATAATATTTAATGACTAATAAGACAAGATTCTTGGAGTTCATAATTTACAAAAGCCATGGAAACACAGTACAAAATTTCAGGCAGCAGTCACTATACTTTGAAGGTTTTAAGATCATTCTTGGTTGAAATGAACTTCGGACAGCCTGAACTAGCTCAGGTCCAAGGTTCTTTCCTGATTTCCATATTATCCATGCCCTGTTGATGCCTGTTTCCTAAGCACATACAATGTTTTCCTTAACTGTCTTCTTCTATTTACCTCTAATGAACTACATAAAAGGCTGTCCTGCCCTTGGAGGATCCTCAGGTACCTTACTAAGAATGGTTTATGTCCTCGGAGACCAAAGTCAGTTCTGTGAGGAAAAGGCCAATAAGCAAATGTTGTTAGATCAAAGAAGGGTCTGTGTACACACAAGCACAGCACATTGCAGGGATGGAAGGGGAGAACAACAGCTCTGTAAGAAGTAAAAACCTCCCAGCACATGACATTTGCCTGCCCCTTTCTAGGTAAGCGGAAAGGAGGTGGTCTCAGACAGAAGGCACTGGCGTCAAAGGCCAGGTGTGAGAGCACTGGCTGCATCAGCTGACCAACAAGGAGTCCACAAAGATGTTTGCACTGGGATAAGGCTGGGTAGGAAGTTCTACCTTGCTACTGCTCTACTGTAGCCAACAGAATCTTGACACATTTTCACCAGTGTGATGCAGCCAATAGTTGCCAAGTGATGAAGGCTTGGACTTGGGTAATGCCGAAGCAAACTGGGAGAAAGGTATGCAGAAATCTCCGAGGTTGTCTCGGTAGACATAAGGAAGTGTAGCCTTTGAAACAGGAATGGAAAGGGTGACAGAAGCTGCAATGTATACTAACTGCCTGATGACGGCTGCCTAAATTCTCCAATCCTCAGTTTGCCTCTGTTGTAAAATGATGACAATACTAGGTAACTAAGACACAGAAACAAGGAACACAATGAAATCAGGAATTAAAAGCATGGGGCCTAACACAAAGTCAGGGCTCATTGAGACATGGATTAGAGAAGACACTGAACTCGGGAATGACTAAAACATCCAATAACGCTCTCTATAAGGATTTGGGACAATGCACAAACTGGCATGCTTTAATGGTTGTAAAATTCAATAAATATATTAAACATCCTGCATTGAAGTATAGTGAATTTTATGCTAAATAAAGTATACCTCAATAATTTTCATAAACACTAAGGAGGATGAGAGTACACAGCTGTGTTAAAGTCGAGCAGGATGAGAGCTGAAAATACCACATTTCAGTTTCTCATAGCAGAGATCTCCTAAGAGATGGGTAATGTCAAGAAGAGCTGACGCATAGCAGGGCTGACAAGGGAGTGAACTGAATTGCAGCGGGGTGAAGTCTATGGAGGATGAGCAGGTAGAAGAATGCCATCTTCCCTTTCCAAGAATTTACACTGAAGGGAAGAAATGATAGGAGGGACAGGTTTGGTGAGAATAAGACTATAACTATAGACTAAGCACAGAATGAAGCTGGTGGCAGCATTAAAGGCATCCGGGCATCAAACAAGGCAGGTTCAAGAAGGAATCAGTCACTAGTGTCTTCCTGTTCTGTCTATTCTAGATGAACCACACCTTGGTGCTGGAGAGAAGGCTCGGCAATCAAGAGCATATATTGCTGTTACAAAGGATCTGAGTTTCGTGTCCATCACCTACATCAAGTATCTCACAGTCTCCCATAACTCCAGATCCAGGGAATCTGACACCCTTGTCTTGCTTCTATGGGCACTGCGTTCACATCCACACAAACCCCACACTCACATATACACATAATTAATAATACTAAAAAAATACTTTTTAACAAAAGAACCACACTACTCCACTACAGTCAGTATTCAAAGGGATTCTAAGATCTAAATGATGAGTATTTTCATAATAATTTTGTTCTTCCAGGTGCCTTGAAGAATGAAGGATATATAAGTAAATACAGGCATTGGCAGAGACACAAACTCTCCACTTGGGTGGAATTTCTATACCCATAGAAAGCAGAAAGATGGACAGAGGCCATCTTGCTGAAGCAGGTCAACATTGCACCATACCTCTTCTGATGACTTTCGAAATGCCACATAAGTTTGCAGGACTTGTGACCTGTAGTTGATGATTCGACCAAGTGTATTTAATTCTTCTTCTAGCCATTTTGCTTTAAAAGAAAGCAATGCCACTTCGCTGAGTTCAAGTTCATTTTTCTCTGTCATGATTTTTGCTGCTGCTTCTAATATGTGTGCTGTCTCCTATGAAAGCAAAGCACACAGGGTCAGGAGCTGACAGGGGAATCATGAACATTCACATTCCATTACCCTTCGGCACATCCATCTATTACGGTTATTAATTGAACTTGTACTGAGAATTTCCTCAATCAAAGAAAGGTACAACTTTCAGAATTACAAATAGGAAGGAAAAAAGGCACTTGAAACTTAGAACTATTTCCAATCCTTCTTTGGCTCTATCAAAAGCTGAAGGCTTCTAGTGGTTAAGGTAGAGGTGAGTTGCTCTGAGGCTTAGAGAATCAAGACCCAGCATCCAGTTTAGAGTTGCTGAGCTGTGTTGTGCTGGGATTCTAGACTACTCATCCCCTGGAGGAGCTCTTGAATTCTTCTAGCAAGCCTGGCTTACAGTATTTAAACCCTCAGCTCCAGCTTTTAGCTCTTCCCTGCCTCTGGGCTTCTCAGGAGTTTCCACTTTTCTTAGCCACCCTAAGGTTCCACCATTGGTATTGCTGTAGAACTCTTATTAGCTGACAATACATCTTGGGCTCAGGCATCAGGCCCTCAGTTCCTCGATTCTACCACTTCTTTGCTGCTGCCTCTGCCACCAACGTTGGAAGCCCTGGCAGTCTTATCTGCTCACTATACAATTAGTTCAGCCTGTTCTACCCATGATGTAGACCACAAGTAAACCAAGAGATGTCTCAGGAGAGCAATTTCTTATGGTCTACTGTTGCAGCACAGGGTGATATCATGAAGAGGAGAAGCTCCTCAGACTAAGCTTACAATGTCAAGGAACAGCCTGCTGGCACAGGAAGGAAAGGGGAGTGGCATGTCAGTGCTTGGACTTGGATTCCACCAGTGACAGCCTGGATGTGTGTGCTTTCCTGTCCCACCAATCACAGCTTTCTCTAGGGACCAATCACAAGCCTCCTACAGGTGCAGCCTCACAAGCTTGTTGCTGAGTCACTAGGGGAGGTACTCTTCTTCCTCCCAGACCTTAGTGAGAACTGCTATTAGTAGGCTCAGAACCACTGGGAGGCTGGGTGGAGTGCTGCGGTGGGGTAGATAAGAGTTCTTTGGGGAAGCTCTGGGTAAGGCTGTCGGGAGGGTATGGCTCAAGAGAGGTTTTTCTGGTGATGGGATGGCTGGAGCAGCAGTGTCTAGACCAGCGGTTCTCAACCTTCCTAATGCCATTACCCTTTAATACAGTTCCTCATGTTGTGGTGACCCCCAACCATAAAATTATTTTCACTGCTACTTCATAACTATAATATTGCTACTGTTATGAACCATAATGTAAGTATCTGATATGCAAAATATCTGATATACGACCCCTGTGTAAGGGTCATTTGACCCCTAAAGGGGTCACAACCCACAGGTTGAGAGCCACTGGTCTAGAGCAAGGCCTCCAGAAGCAGAAGTCTGTGGCCTCAGCCACAGTCCTGATTGCTGTGTTCTTTATAGCCGGCTCTAGATTCTTCAAGGCATTCATGAAGTGCTCAAAGCAGCCAAGATTCCATGATGACAGTTTAGCCAGTAGCCTAAAGAGGGGCTGTTCAGCAGACAGCTCCCTCATTCAAGGTAGTAGAACACAAAGAAGAGTCTCACAGTTGTCAATCAAAGGCTTAAACTGGCCTGGCCTCCACTAGCTTAGCTTATTTGAGGGTAAAGTAAACATTAAAAGGTGCTTACAATAGATCTGTCATAACATTAGCATTCATAATAGCATGGAACAGTGCTTAACTCCTAGTTAATTGCCCTTAGGGAGAACCACTCTCTGATCCTTCTCAATATATTACTTGCATGTCTATTCTGATGGTGAATAAACAAACTTGCTGCCAGTCACATAAAAGTATAGCACATATAATTAGGAGCAACACATAATACTTGCTAATTAACTACGTTACTGGTTCATGTATTTATTATACTGTATCTTTTATTGTTAGAGTATTTTTTCTACACATACGAAAAATGTACTGTAAAATAGTATGCCCACTTGTGCTGGCAGCAGCTTCACACATGGTGTTTACATTTCTCTATTGCATCAGGGAACCATGTCTAGTGACTGACCTGTTCTGCCTATGCCTGTACAACTGCACACTGTGATGTTCACACAATAATGGCTAAATCATAAAACAGCACGTTTGTTTCTCCCAATGTCTCCTCATCATTAAGTGATACATGATGAAGAGCCTGCACCATTTCCTGAGAACGAGCGAGGAATCAAGCAGAATTAAAGAGAAATTTTCGTGTTCTCATTTGCAGCACAAGAGGTATCGTCCCTAGTTGTGTTTAATATGCTTTCCCGGAACCCCACTGATTGTACAGAATTACAATTTGCCAGCCCTGCTTTGCGACAACACACTGCAGAATAAAAAGGAGCATGGGATTTCTCCCCCAAGTTCTCGCTCATGCTTCTAAATGTAAAAGGAGAATGCCTCCAGATGTGGTTTAAGCATTTAAAATGAAGATTTTTCCCCTAAGTCTCATTCTAAAAAGAAGGAAAGGAAAACAAGTGTGCCTGTCTGCAGTGAGGGTGCTGTTTAGAGGGAGGCTCTTCTGTAGAAACCTGGAGAAACAGAGCTTCTCTTGCTGATATGAGTGAGTGAGGGGAAGCACTCACTTTTCTGAATCTACGGGGCAACCTGTGGCTTGCAACCCTGAATATCAGATATTTACATTACAATTTATAACAGTAACAAAATCACATTTATGAAGTAGAAACAAAATTAATGTTATGTTTGGGGGGGTCACCACAACATGAAGGACTGTATTAAAGGGTCAGAGCATTAGGTACATAGACAACCACCTTTCTAGCAGGAATCACTGAATCTAATCCTCAAGAACAGGGTAAGACAGAGCAGTAGATGCTACCAGTAGGGGGCGGGGCACTCAATGTCTGAATATGGAGGGTGAAACTCCTTGAAGAGTACAGTGACAAGTGTTGTTTGTGGAAGTTTTCTTGTGTGACTTGTTCTTGCAGAAAATCACAAATAGTCTTAGAGAAGAGCTTTCCCTGCCTAGTCTGTCACCTAGAAAGAGTTGCTAGCTGTCCAGGCGAGGAACAGATGCCAGCTAAGTACCTGAAACCACAGTTGTAGTGAGTATAAATAAACTAAATATAAATCATCTAAACACACATAATACTGTGTGGGTTTTTAATGCCATTATCTATTCTGCATTAACTTAGAATTGCAACACTCAAGGAAGCTGAGATTAAGTTCCATAATTTTGAAAATTATTTTTAAATAATTATTTACAACATTAAGATCCTACTAATAACTTCCAGTTACCTTGGCTTGAATATCTAATTCCAGATATTTATTCAATATCTTCTCCAACTCAGAAGGACTGGAACCAACATCCAATATGTTAGAAAGAACTGGCCTGATTTCCTGAATTGACATTTCCACCTTGAGGAACAGAGAATACATTGTAGTCATAATAACATATTAGGAGTGTACATATAAGGAAATATTATTTCATACATTACCATTGTATTTTAATCTAAAATAGCCTTAAACATTGAAGGATTTCATGTTTTGATAATGCACATCTTCATATGATGCCATTTTATTGACTGCAAAGACTACAAAACTGTCATCCATCCTTATCTTTGCAGAGCTTTTCTGTATCACGGACAAAGGATGATAATGCACTTGCCAACATATTGGCAGAGGTGGATTCATCTATAGTTTGAATGAGACCAATTTGCTGGCACATCTAAGTGGAGCTGGGGAGCTCTGGGAAACACCTTGTCCAGATGATAGTGAAAGCAGGAACCTATTGAATAATTTTGTTGTTGAACTGAGGGAACTATGATTTGACCTTTGGTTCACAAGAACCTAAGGCTAAGATAATTCTGAAAGGGTTTCATTCCACTCAAGTTACCTGCTTCATAGCCTTGCTTTCTGTAGAATGCACACTCTCCACAGCAATGGGTGTTTAAATTGTGTGCTTTCCACCATCAAGCTGTAGGGCATGCAACACCACAGCTGCCTCTGTGCTCACACTCTCCCTGGACCCAGGCAACAGGAAAAGACTCACATTCCCAAGCCACTGGATCAATAACATATGGGGAAGTGATTTAGTAGATGTTATATAATGCCAGGCTCTATGAAGTCTGTTAACGCCACTCATATACATCCAAGCATATGAGTCCATTGCATCAAATGAAAAGATCATTGACCATTTGAGAGCCAGTCTCTAAAGCAAGATTCACTACCATTGTGTCATCAGTGTACATGAGATAAAAGCTTCCATGGAAAGCTACTGCATCACTCTGCAGAGAGGATTCTCCCATCTACTTTTATGTAGATGACTGTGTCTCTTGCACTGGTTTTGTTCAATCAGTATGATCATGACAGCTTTGTCCCCAGAAACACAAAACCTATAGTTGTTGATAACTATTTGTCTGTCTGAAGTCTTCCTGTTAAATTGTGCCAGAATAATGGCAACTAACATGGGACTGTACCTGAAGTCATGCAAACTAAGGGCCCTCCTTTCAATGCATTTCTGATGTGCATTGATACTAGGGAATGTATATAACTTTGTATATATGATTCAAGACTAGGCAGGCAGATCGTATTAGACATTTATTATTGACAACCTGGGACAGGGGTGGTTGATGGTTGATGAACAACAGTGGATTACAACCATTTTCCAGTTGTAGGACCTAATGTGTAATATAGAGGAAGTCTAAGGAGACACACTCCACACTCCCCCATGCTCACAGTTGAACACCATCCATAAACAGTAAATAAAAGTTTTAAATTGTATTTTATGAAACTACCTTCCTTAGGGAGCCTTCCATGGATGCTGCTAATTGCTGTTTCTTAAGAGCAAATTCCTTGTGTGCTGTACACTGTTTGCTGAGATGATCCACTCGTTTCTGAATGCATTCCATCATCTCATGGATACCTGTCACCTGAGAGCTGAATGGAACAAGCCAACTGTTAGTTCACTTGACCTTGACATAGAAGTCCTGACAATAGGGAACATTTGAAAACAGATATGCCCTTTCGTGTACAGTGTGAGTTGGTCCAAGCTACTGCTTCCGGATAATGGAAGTTAAGTAGTTATCATGCTGGTGCAGCAGGCAGCAAAGTCAGAGTATGTTGCCTTGTTTTAAGTCAGTCAGTCCCAAGGGAAGGATGAATCCTGGCTTCTGTGACAGGTCTAATCTTTTCTAAAGGTTTACTTTTTAATATTTCTGTAAGATACTTTGAGAATCTCATGGTAAATGGCACAGTATGCTTACCAAGTTTTCCTGGGGGTATCATTTAAAAGCTTCATTTATTTCAAGATACTCTTTGAATAGGAATGTGAATCAGCCAATTAACAGAGCATTTACTAACCCAATAGGGTAAAATATTTATATATTTTTGTTCTCAGTGGTTATAAATGCTCAAGGCTGTATTCACTAGATAAAAACTTGGTTATCACTAGCAATTAGGTATCAAATACGCTCATCCATATTTGATGCTGCACATCATCATTTTTCTCACTTGTGTTGACCTACAAGATGAAGGTCACTTCCAGAAGAGCTGCCCACACAGGAAAGAGATCAGCCCCTCCAAAACCCCAACCCAGCGAGCCCAGCTTCAGGTGAGATTGGGTCTCCGGCTGGGACCGCCTGCCCATCACCCATCCCCCTCCATCTTCGGGGCCGCCCCCGGCTGCCAGAAGAGCCGCCCACACAGGAAAGAGATCAGCCCCTCCAAGACCCCAACCCCAGGGAGCCCAGCTTCAGGAAAGAGATCAGCCCCTCCAAGACCCCAACCCAGCAAGCCCAGCTTCAGGAAAGAGATCAGCCCCTCCAAGACCCCAACTCCAGGGAGCCCAGCTTCAGCCCGCAGTAAGGAAGGAGACCAGTGGAGACGGAAAGACACCACCAGCACCCACTGGAAGAAGAGATGGGAAGAAGACAGAATAAGAGATCACTCAGCAATAGAAACACCAACATGACCCCACCAGAATCCAGGGATCCAACACCAGCAAGTCCCGAAAAGCACTACATAGATGAAGAAGAGGAGACAGACCTTAAAAATTATTTCATGAAGATGATGGAGAGCCTCAAAGAAGAAACGAGGAAATCCCTTAAAGAAATAGAAGAAAAAACAAACAAAAAAATCCATGAAATGGGGGGGAAAATTCAAGAAATAAACAAATCTCTCAAAGAATCTAAAGAGCACCAAGAAAAAACAACCAAGAAAATTAAGGAAACAGCTCAAACAGTTGAAGGATTGAAAGCTGAAATAGAAACGATAAAGAAAACACAGAATAAAGGGATGCTGGAAATAGAAAAGCTCGGTAAACGGTCTGGAACTACAGATGCAAGTATCACCAATAGAATACAAGAGATAGAAGAGAGAATCTCAGGTGTTGAAGACTCATTAGAGGATATAGAGTCGTCAACCAAAGAAAATCTCAAAACCAACAAATCCTTAACACAAAATATCCAGGAAATATGGGACACCATGAATAAGCCAAACCTGAGAATAATAGGTATAGAAGAAGGTGAAGAACTTCAACTTAAAGGTACAGAAAACATATTCAACAAAATCATAGAAGAAAACTTCCCTAACCTAAAGAAAGATATGCCTATGAAAGTACAAGAATCTTACAGAACACCAAATAGGCTTGACCAGAAAAAGAAGTCACCTCGCCATATAATAATCAAAACATCAAACCTACAGAGCAAAGAGAAAATATTAAGAGCAGCTAAAGAAAAAGGCCAAGTAACATACAAAGGCAGACCTATCCGAATTACACCTGACTTCTCAATGGAAACGATGAAAGCCAGAAGATCCTGGTCAGATGTCCTACAAACGCTAAGGGAACAAGGATGCCAGCCCAGACTACTATATCCAGCAAAGCTCTCAATTACCATAGATGGAGAAAACAAAATATTCCATGACAAAGCCAGATTTAAACAATACGTATCCATGAATCCAGCTCTACAGAAAATGCTAGAAGGAAAACCTAGAGCCAAGGAAGATAACTACATTCACAAAGACACAGGCAATATGTAATCATACTTTACAAAACACTAAAAGAAAAAGGGAGGAGAAACAACACAAAATAACTTCACTAACAATAAATCAAGCACAAACAAGGATCACCAATCAATGGTCATTAATATCCCTCAATGTCAACGGCCTCAACTTGCCTATAAAAAGACACAGACTAGCAGAATGGATACGAAGACAGAACCCTTCCTTCTGCTGCATACAAGAAACACATCTCAACACCAAAGACAGACGTTATCTCAGAGTAAAGGGCTGGGAAAAGATCTTCCAATCAAACGGCCCCAAGAAACAAGCGGGCGTAGCAATCCTAATATCTAACAAATTAGACTTCAAATTAAAATCAATCAAAAGAGATGAAGAAGGGCACTTCATATTCATCAAAGGAAAAATACATCAAGACGAAGTCTCAATTTTAAACATCTACGCCCCAAATACAAAGGCACCTACATTCGTGAAAGAAACATTACTAAAGCTCAAAATGCACATAAAATCTCACACACTAATAGTAGGAGACTTCAACACTCCGCTCTCACCGCTAGACAGGACCTCCAGACAGAAACTTAACAAAGAAACAAAAGAATTAATAGAAGTTATGACCCAACTGGGTTTAACAGACATCTATAGAACATTCCATCCAAATACAAAGGGATATACCTTCTTCTCGGCACCACATGGAACCTTCTCTAAAATTGACCACATAATAGGAAACATAGCAAATCTCCACAGATACAAAAAAATTGGAATAACTCCCTGCATCTTATCAGACCACCATGCATTAACATTAGAATTCAACAATAACACAAATCGCAGAAACCCTACAAACTCATGGAGATTGAACAATGCACAATTGCACCATCCCTGGGTAAAGGAACAAATAAAAAAAGAAATTAAAGACTTCCTCGATTTCAATGAGAATGAAGACACAACATACACAAACTTATGGGACACTTTGAAAGCAGTGCTGAGAGGAAAGTTTATAGCACTAAGTGCCCACATGAAAAAACTGGAGAACAGTCATACTAGAGAATTAATAGCACAGCTGAATGTTCTAGAACAAAAAGAAGCAAACTCCCCCAGGAGGAGCAGACGCCAGGAAATAATCAAATTGAGGGCTGAAATCAATAAAGTAGAAACCAGGAAAACACTGAGAAGAATCAATGAAACAAAGAGTTGGTTCTTTGAGAAAATCAACAAAATAGACAAACCTCTGTCCAAACTAACCAAAAGACAGAGAGAGAACATGCTAATTAACAAAATCAGGGATGAAAAAGGGGACATAACAACGGACTCTGAGGAAATCAAGAGAATCATCAGGGCATACTTTGAAAATCTGTACTCCACAAAATTTGAAAATTTAAAGGAAATGGACAATTTCCTGGATAGATATCACTTGCCAAAACTAAATCAAGAACAGATAAATAATCTAAACAGACCTATAACCCCTAATGAAATAGAAGCAGTCATCAAAAGTCTCCCAAACAAAAAAAGCCCAGGCCCAGATGGCTTCAGTGCAGAATTCTACCAGAAATTCAAAGAAGAGCTCATTCCAATACTCGTCAAAGTATTCCACACAATAGAAGCAGGAGGCTCACTGCCAAACTCTTTCTACGAGGCTACAATTACCTTGATACCCAAGCCACACAAAGACACAACTAAGAAAGAGAACTATAGACCAATTTCCCTCATGAACATTGATGCAAAAATACTCAATAAAATACTTGCAAACTGGATTCAAGAACACATCAGAAAAATCATCCACCATGATCAAGTAGGCTTCATTCCAGGAATGCAGGGATGGTTCAACATTAGAAAATCTATCAATGTAATCCACCATATTAACAATCTGCGAAAGAAAAACCACATGATCATCTCACTAGATGCTGAAAAAGCCTTTGACAAAATCCAGCACCCCTTCATGATAAAGGTCCTAGAGAGATCAGGGATAACAGGAACGTACCTGAATATAATAAAAGCAATATACAGTAAACCAACAGCTAACATCAAACTAAATGGAGAGAAACTCAAAGCAATTCCTCTAAAATCAGGAACAAGACAAGGCTGTCCACTCTCTCCATATCTCTTCAATATTGTACTTGAAGTTCTAGCTACAGCAATAAGACAACAAAAGGAGATAAAGGGGATACAAATAGGTAAAGAAGAAGTCAAACTTTCATTATTTGCAGATGATATGATAGTTTACATAAGTGATCCAAAAACTCCGCAAGGTCACTCCTAGAGCTGATAAACACCTTCAGCAATGTGGCAGGATACAAGGTAAACTCAAAAAAATCAGTGGCCCTAGTATATACAGATGATGAAGTGACTGAGAAAGAAATCAGAGAAACATCACCTTTTACAATAGCCAAAAACAGCATCAAATATCTGGGGATAATGTTAACCAAGGAAGTGAAAGACCTGTATATCAAGAACTTTGTGTCTTTGAAGAAAGAAATCAAAGAAGATACCAGAAAATGGAAAGATCTCCCATGCTCTTGGATTGGTAGGATCAACATAATAAAAATGGCAATCTTGCCAAAAGCAGTCTATAGATTCAATGCAATCCCTATCAAAATTCCATCACAATTCTTCAAGGACCTGGAAAGAACATTAATCAACTTTATATGGAAAAACAAAAGGCCCAGGATAGCCAAAACATCCCTATACAATAAAGGAACTTCAGGAGGCATCACCATACCTGACTTCAAGCTCTATTATAGAGCTATAGTCCTGAAAACAGCTTGGTATTGGCACAAAAATAGGCAGGTAGACCAATGGAACCGAATCGAAAGCCCTAATTTTAACCCACACACCTATGAACACCTGATTTTTGACAAAGAAGCTAAAACTGTACAGTGGAAAAAGAAAGCATCTTCAACAAATGGTGCTGGCATAACTGGGTACTG